TTAACTATCTCCATACTACTACTGCTATTTAGTTTCTAAGAAACTGTCTGTTCTTAGAGAATGTTCAAAAACCCTCATGCTTTTTATAAGAATTTCTGAGAAACCTCCCACCACCTTTTCAAAGGGGGAACAATTGTATTTACTAGCTGCCATTGTGGCTAAGCACAGGCCTTGCCCAGCTACCTGCAGAATATTAACACCTGATGAATTTCACTATAATTGCAGTTTCTCTACCTCTCCTCAGCAGATGTATTCAAGACACAATGACATATGGTTCAAGCAGATCAGAGGTCTTGAAGGCTCAAGTCAGTCCTGGGCATTCCCAAATTTAGGGTTGTTGGCATGCAGTCTGTACCTATTTGTCTCCCTGTCTCTCTAGGCCAGATTTCTCCAATAGAATATAATCTCTCCAGTCAAGACTGGCTTCTATTCTTGGCCGTGCTGCAAACTTCCTGTGTGACCTTGGGGCAGAAGGCTCCTCTCTGCCTTCTTACCTCCCAGGATCTCGTGAGAATCCCATCATTACTGTTTGCCAGCTGCAGTCATGAGCCCCATGGAAACGCCTATAAATAATAGCTCCAAATTAAACATTGGGGAGGTTCAGGTTAGAGCCTTCCCTCTCTCTCTCCAGTCCTGGCAAGCACTGGAAACAGGGCTTTGCTGAGTGCAAATCCTCACCCTCTTCAAATCATAGACTTAGAGAGAGACAGAGAAAGCTGCCAGCTAGGTCAGAGCTTGGCCAGTCCTCCTTAGGCTTTGAAGCAAGGCTTGCACAAGTTTATGCATTCAGAGGACTAGTGATATGGCTGTGAACATATGAATAATCTGTTATTCATGTTTCTCCCTGTGCTAAGCTGTAATGCCCTGAAGCATGTTTCAGGGGGGAAGGACTCAACATCTCTTGGGACCTGGGGATGAAGGTCAATGGGGCTGTTGATTTTGTGTTCAGCAGTATGGGTCACTAAACTGCTTGTGTTGTGTCCCTCTGGAGAGGAGCACCCAGAGGAATGTCACAGGCTTCTGGTGCTGCTCCCCACATGGGTTGTAGCATTTCTGGAGCTCAGCAGTGCCTGGGTGGGCACCTGGGAGGTCTGCCCTGGCCCTAGGGGATCATGGAGCACAGCTCAATGGTCAGGGAGCAGATTGCCTATTTTGCAGCAGAAAAGGACTGAAAAGCTGGAGGTCTTCTCATAATCGCTGCAGCTGGGGCTTGTTTGCTTTTGTTGCACCTCATTTGGGAAGCCAGCAGCAAAGTGACTTGGGAAAAAGAGAAAGGAAAGCCTGGGAAGCAGAGAGGTTGACTGGAGGAAAAAGCAAGCAAACAAGCATGAACAATACAGGCTGTAGAAGTGCTTTATAATTAGTTTATAAAAGCTCTCTTAACATGAGCAAAGCACTTTCTACTGAAAAATCTGTAATAAAAATGCAGCAATATTTATAAGCATTGTACATTTTTCATTTAATTCTGTTAAACTACTTCAAGAAGACCATCTAAGCCTTGTATTTCCCTTTTCTCAGCCTCCATTGTCTGGGCAGTTAAAAGCACTTCAGCATTGCCTTCCAGCCTCAAAACTCCCTGGTGAAAAGCAGTTTGAGGTGGTTTCAAACCAACTCACTGGCATTGTCACTCAAGTGGCAGCTCAGAAGATCTTGCCACTGTGCCATTGGAGGAGCAGCCAAGTGTGGTCACCTTCCCTGCAAAAGAAGAGTTGGTTAATCAATCCATTATACTTGTGGGTTACAGAGGTTGCACCCTGCCCTCACATGTTTATGCTTGGCTCGTTGGAGCGATGCCTAGGTGTGGAGAGGTGGCCATGAAATGTGCTTGGAGATGGCAGCTTTCCCAGTGGAGGTAATGCCAGAGAGGTCAGCCCACAAGAATTTTGGTGCATGTTGACTGAAACAACGGATTTGGTTATATGAGTGAAATGCAGATTGCTGGGCACTGTATGAGACAGCTTGAACACCACTGCAGCATAAATGTGTCCCACTCAGCTGTGCCCTAGGCCATAGTTATCTGAAAATGAAATGGTTGGAGTAGGAAGCATGGTTGGGTTTTCTTCCAATTTTTCTTCTTGTTTTTCACAAGGGAAGAAGAAAGTCTAGAATCCATATTTAAGCTTAACAGGAGCGAAGACTTGGCCAAACTGGATTGTAACTTGACCCAGAATGAGGAGAATGGGGTTTATCTGTTTGATGGAGGGCCAAGGCATGGACATGCCTAAAGCTCATGGTTCCAAAACAATCTGTGGTAGGGATTAGCTGGCATTCTTGCTGAAGTTTGGAAGTTTAACAGTTTTGATTGGCTGTCTTTAGTGTTTCATTTTGAAAGCCTAAAGCTTAATTGCTGTGATGGAGAAGGAAGTAGGGGCTCCTGCTCATCTGGACTGGTGTTTTCTCCCAAGTGTAGTACTTCCCCAATTCACACTCTGTTTATATGACCCAAAGAAAAGGTTTTGCCTCATGCAGAGCAGAGGACTTGGGCCAAGATTTTTTGACTAGGGAAGAAAATTCTTACACATTTCTATTCATTTTACATTTGGCAAAAAATTATTTCCTGACCTTCTCTTAAAGGCTTTTTTCAGTTGTTTTTAACATTTGATTTATTCAGGATTAGCTCCAGTGTGAGAAAGCTAAGTTAGCTGCTTGAATGAAGCCAAATAGGGCTTAATTTAAAAAGGCAAATATTTCCTGATGATTTACTACTAGATTCATTCTTTTAATTTTCCATTTGCAGATTGCCCATGAGCAGATTGCAATATTCCCTAATTGTATGTATTACTGGAAGTCTGTCACCCATTCAATAAGCAAAAATTTCTTGGTCCAGAACTTGCTTCTGAAATTCCAGGGCCCCTACAGAACTGGGTGGCTTGAGGAGCCATGTGGACAGCACTAGGATATTTGTTGTGCTGGCCACAGCAGAAGCTGTGATCATTGCAGTCAAGCAGCTGAAGCCATGTACTGTGTTGGCGAGGAACAACCCCATGAGGGCACAAACAGATGTGATTCCCTGGGATGCAGCTAACCTCTGCCTGTGCATGAAAATGGCAGCTTTTACAGTCCACTCCATTAACTGTGTTTTGCCAACATTCATGTTTTTGCCAAATTAATTTTTTGCCACATACTCAAATTTCACTAGTAGCCAGTAGTTCTGCAGCACAGATGTGCACTTCAAATGTGGAAGGGCTGCAAGCACGCTGAAAGCAAGTAGTTATTTAGAGAACAAAATGTCCCCGCTGTTTGCTCAGTACTACTTTAAACAAATAGACAAACAAGGAGGAAAAAATTCTACTTAGAAGAAGCACTAACACTGCCTTCTATGTTCCTCCTCCCTGGAGAGATGGTAGGATGAAGCTACACATGATGGACATTAGTGGAGTCACACAGGGTGCTGCTGACTGGTGTCAGGGTAACAAGGGGTCACAAGGTGAGAGGGGCTAGGCCAAGATCTGAGGAGCAGATCTTCATTTGCATTGTTGTGTCCACACACCAGCTAAGCCAAATGCTCTTCCTCTTCGAGTGCCACTTCTCAAGACCGCTTGGATTTCACCTTGGCCAAGCCAATTGAGTCTGTAATGAAGTTAAAGGCTGGGCAATTGCAGCTAGTTGAGTGCTCAGTCCAGCGTAGACAGGATTTTATCTGCAGGCATTTTGCTTCTGGCTCTCAGCCTGATTTAATCCCAGAAAGGAGTGAAACCAAAGCTGTCTGGGCCATCTTTCTTTGTGGAGGAGCACACTAAGTCCCTGTAAGTTTGTTTTGAGGCTGTTGCTCGCCGATATGTGCTTTGCAGAATGGGAATGAGTCACATGAGGATCATTCTGTATCCAGCAAGCTACTTCTCCTTTCAACTCTCCATTCTCAAACAGAAGATCTTGTGACAAAGAAGAAAGGCAGATTCCTGGCAGCCTGGAAATGCTTTTTTCCTCCCTGGCCCCTTAAGAAGAGCTGTAGCATGTTGTTCAAACAGGTTGATACAAAGCAAATAAACAGTCCTAGAGAGATGGTCAGTTTCTGTAAATAGCAGCGTGCTGGCCACAGAGGAGAGGGGCGGGGAGGACGTGGGTGTTAGAAAGCAGCTGAAGAACAAGATGTACACGTAAAAGCTGTTTGTTTCTTCACAGCACGCAGAGCCTGATACTACTACCTTGCCTACTCATGGCCTAGAAAATATGGAGGGATCTGTGGCAGTTTCACCTTCCAGCCAAGCTTTGCAACAAGCTTTTGTCTCTGCAGCAGGAGGCAATTCTTCTAACCCTACGCATTCCTCCCCCAGACCAGTCAGATACCCAGGCCAGAAGGAACATCTTCAAGTAGGGTTTAGCAAAGGCAGGTTGCAGTTGCAGGGTGTACAGGATCAGCGATAATGAGTGTAGGTACCCAGCTCTTACACAAAATTTCTCATCCATGGAAAATCTTCATTAGCACTTGATAGAAGAGGATTAATATTAATGTCCAAGTGCTAAGTGAGTTTACTTGCCATGCTTGCTAAAGGACCAATGTGATATCAGTGCACAAAAGAGCTACCTGCTCACGTGGATTGAACACTGACAGTCTCACTTGGTATGTACTTGCCCAAATCCCACATGGATGCTGGAATAAAGCAAGCTCTGCCAAACAGCACAATGGCACCCCAGAAGAGAGCTCAGGGGAGGAGAGCAGCCTCAGGAGAGTTGTGTCTGAGCTTCTCCCATGCCAAAGGAGTTTTGTGGAAATGGAGGTAAAGCGTGTTCTAAATTTTGCATGTTGGCTGTGAAGGTGAGCGGATGTACGTACAACAAATTAATGACGTGAATGACAGCAGAGGAAAGGACCTAAATGTAGTCAGACAAAAGTGTTTTGGGGTCTGTGGTGTGGTGTGCTGTGAATAAGAGTCCCAGGTACCTATCTGGAAGACGTTCTGTGAAATATGCAGATACTGAGAGTGGTTTTTGTTTGTGCCTGGCATCCTGAAGCACGTCCCTGACAGATGGTTTCCCTGCCATTTCACCTGCCTCCGCAGGTATGACTACATCGAGATCCGCGATGGGGACAGCGAAGCAGCAGACCTTCTGGGCAAGCACTGTGGGAACATTGCACCTCCTACCATCATCTCTTCTGGCCCCTCTCTCTATATCAAGTTCACCTCAGACTACGCACGGCAAGGTGCCGGCTTCTCTCTGCGCTATGAGATCTACAAGACGGGTGAGTGTCTGAGTCAGTGCCTGTCTCCCAGACTGACACAATTATCTTTGTCTGTAGATGCTTTGGCCACCTTTTCAATGTGATTTCTAGCATATTTTCCAGAGATAAAGGACTTTTTTTTTAAGTGAAGCAAGTCTGTGCGTCACATTTCCAAGAAGGTAAAGATCTTAGTGGCACATGACAGTGAATTTTTGGATCACAGGATGCAATTAAAGCAGGGTTCCTCCTTAAATCTTCTCTTGTATTCGAGGACTAGAAACATATATCTTTACTCTCCGGCATGATAGGGCTAAAAGGGGGTTGTCCCTCTGTTAGAAGTGCATGGAGCTCCCCCTCCTGTGGAGTTGTGATTCAGGGTTGATCAGTGATGCTGTGTTTTCTCTCCATGGATGGGGGGTTTGTAACTGGGGAACTCTAGTCTTCAAGTGATTGCTGTCAGCAATGCTGTCAAAGTCTGCGGCAGCACCCTTCCAGGCTGATATAAGAGGAAGTGTTCATAACTATTTAATTCTTAATTACTATTGAGGAAAGAAAAATCTGCTCAAAGCCCTTTTAGTAGTGTTTCTGTCAAAATATTTGCCAGAATTTTGTGCCTGGGAAGAAAGGCTTGAAAAAATAGCCTCTGCTCTGTGTGCATGTGAGAGAGGTGTGCCTGCATGCTGAGGGATCAGGAGAGTGTTTTGTGTGGGCACACAGGCACCTGCCCTGTGCCCACAGTCCTTTGGTGATGTGTTAGAAGACAACACACGTGGCTTTCAGTCATTTCATCCAGCACCAAAAAAAAAAGTCTGTGCCATGGGAAGAATCAAAAAGGATCACAATAGGGCTGTTTATCCAGCATCTCTAAAGAAAAGATGAGGAGCACAGGCAGCAGTGCCCAGGGGTCCTGGGCCAGCTGTGCAGCAGGCAGAGGTGCACAGACAGCCCACAACCTGGCTGGGGGTAGATGTGAATGTAGAGACTTTGCTGCAAGAGAAGGAAACTCCCTAAATTCATTGTGAATCAATGAGGACAGGACTTGTGTGAAGGTTCAGATGGATGAGGAAAGTGCTGTTGCTGGTGGTTGCCTGGACTGCATAACTGGCCATTGAGCTGCTGAGCAGCCAGCTCACCACAACTGTTACTTTATGGTTAAGATGCAGATTAGTCCTGAAAGTTTAGTGATTCAGCCAGATATTGGGGTTTGCTAAGGCCAGTTGCCATCAGTAAGGATGGCAAAGAATACAGGTGAGAAGACTCACCTCAGCCTCCTTTGCCTCTCTCACCCTGCTCACACTTCCTGTGAGCCCAGCAGGCTGTGATGAGTTGTGCCTGACCTCATACTCCATCCATGCCCTGACTCAGGGCATGAGGCACTGTGGGCTGGTCCAGCTGGCTGAGGTGGCCTCGCCATGCTGTGGGAAGGGGTGGCAGACAGGAACCCTGTTGGTCTGGCTGGGAGCCAGTAAGGGACCAAATCTGTGAGGAAAGGAGAAGTTGTTACTGGGAGGGAGGGAGAGGAATCAAGGGCTCATCTGGAGGAGAGCAGGTAGTGGATGGAGGCTGGAGCTGAAGTGGTGCTGGCTCCTTTTGCCATCCCCACTGATGCAGGAAGCCATCCTCTCCAGATACAGCCACACTTTCTTACAACCACAGCCCACGAAATCAAGCCTGGCAAGGCAGGTTCTGGCACAGGAGTGTGGGTGAGCCCGTGATCCGGGAGCACTCCCAGCCCACATCTGCCCACCCCCAGTCCCTGCCAGGGCTCCAGAGAGGGCCGTGGGCAGTGCTGGCTGCAGGGCTCCTGCAGCACAAGCAAACCCTGCCTTTTGTTGGCAGGCAGGCAGGCATGGGCCAAGTTTCCATCTGAGCTGTCAGGGTAACCAGCAAGGGTGTCACCAGCTTTAAAGGTCATCGGATTGTCATTGTCCTCATCAGTAAAAGCAGCAGTGGCTGCAGATTCCTTCTGTCTTAAAGGTGATCTAAAAAAACAACTCTTTTCAATGGAGCATTTATTTCCCCAACTTGTGCTAAATTTCCCTTATCACAGGGTGAGAGAGAAGCAATCTGCATACAAACAACCACATACCAGTCTTTGAATCCCCTGATGGGTATCAGCCAGCAGTCTGTGGGCTGACAAGAGCCGCCTGCCTTGGCTGGTCCAGCCTCCCTGCTGCTCCCTTTATGAGTCAGTTTCGCAGGGCCGGCCTGAGCTCTCCAGCGCTGGGCATCAAAGTCTCCTCTCAGGCTGGCCTGTGCTGCAGAAGTCAGCATGACTCCCGTTGATTATCTGCAGCTTCCTTATAAGAAGCTGATCATTGTGTTTGCTGCTATTAGCCAAAATGTAGACAAAGATGCCAAATGTGATAAGAACGCCACGTGAGGAAACTGTTGTCTAATGTGGTCTTGCCTGTTGCTAGAAGACAGTCCCTGACTCTAGGTTTAGCCTTTCATTTTCTCCCTAGCTCAGAGCTTGTGTTATTTTCACTATTTATCTGTTAGTCTTTCAGTACAAAGTACACCCTTATCCCTGCTCATGGCATTATGCTGTGATTTGTGTTTGGCTTTTTTTTTTTTGCCTCTGCATTTTACCCCACAGGTTCACACCAGAAAAGCTGGCTGGTTCATTAGGTAGTCAATTAAGAGCCTCTCTTGAGTAGCTCTCCAGCCAGGCACTGCATAATGCAGTGCAAGATCCTGCTATTACTGCAGGCTGCTGGCCTGACTCCGTAGGTTAATGCTGAATTGAATAACAAGTCTGCCATTAGTCCTGGGAAGGCTGGTACTGCCTGGGAGAGCCTGAACAAGAGGGTTTGTAGAGGAGGAGAGTGTCCCATGGAAGTGAAGCAGAAACCTTTGTGAATGCTAGTGCCAGGTTGCAGCAGTGGCCAGCAGCCTCTCTAACACCCTCTTTCTCCTCTGATAGCTCCAGGCTGCAGATTTCTGTTGCCTATTGTCCTGGCAAGGCTTTCAAAGTCACCGTGGCATGAATATGACACAAATTCCCCTTTCCCCAAGCAGCCCGAGGCACCTTGGCTGTATGAGAGGGGGCACCGAGCTGGCCCGGCTGCAGCCGAGGCCAGTGCTGAGGTCAGCAATAAATAAGGGGCAACATTGTCTGTCCTCCCCACCACGCAAAGGTCTTGCTTAAGGATAGAAATAACTTGCATTTCTGGTGTGGATGGCTCATTCTGTGAAAAAGAGGGCTCTGTTCCTGCTCTCAGCAGAGACCCCCCCTGCCATGGCCTCTGTTATCCCCATTATTAATGTGGCCACGTTGTGGGGATGTATGCTGGAGCTAGCCCCTGTCCCTTGTGTGGGTCTTTGGGGCGGGAGTGGGGGCTGCAGGCTAACTGTGCACTTCCCAAGGGTTTGCAGCAAACAGTGGAGACATTGGCACCCTCCCACAGGCCCTCCCACAGGCCCTTACACTGTGTAAATATTTGTGCTTACGGATTTTCTCAAGGGGAAACTGAGGCACACGTATCTGTGCTGGAAGGCTGGAGTTTGCAGGAGACTGGCCCATGGGAACAGCCTTTCCAAAATGAGTACATCCCATTACTCCTCTCTGCCCCATCCCTGGCAGCTCCTTCCCCAAATGGGGCTCCTCCACCAGTCCTGGGGTCGCTGTGGCACCTTTGCCTGCATGGCTGCAGGTAGCAGCTGTGTCATGACTACTGTGGATGGAGGCTCCCTGTGTGCCAGCCGGCCTCTCTGCAGGCTCTGGAGCAGCACACAGGTCTGCCAGGTCAGTCTGGGGGTGGGTTAGAGTGGAAAGTGCCAGCTGGGGAAGACAGGCCAACATGGTGTGGCCTCCCTGTCCACCAACACCGGTGTGAGGGACGTGGCACATTGCTGTCCTGCCAAATCACAGCAATGGCTTTGGATAGGATCACTCTTCTAGTCCTGGTTTTGAGGTAATTGTCAGGAGGATCAGCAGTGGTTTACAGATTATGTCTGCAAAGCTGTCTAAGGGATTTTGAACCATGTTGTCCACTACAGTACCTCATGGACCTTGTCTCTCCACCTGTGGAAAGCTTTGAAAATCACCTTCTCACTTCTTGCAGTTATTCCCACAGCTCTTGAGCTGCAGGACTTTCCAGAAGTGAATATGCAACCCTAAACTCAGAATGGGGTTTTCACAGTGCCAAATTGTTGGCATTAAGCTTCGTTGTTGCTAAGGCTCTGGGTTTTTCCTGCTGCTACAGGCTCCGAGGACTGCTCCAGAAACTTCACTGCCTCCAACGGCACTATTGAGTCTCCAGGTTTCCCTGACAAGTATCCACACAACCTGGACTGCATCTTCACCATCATAGCCAAGCCAAAGACAGAAATCCTCCTCCACTTTCTGCTTTTTGACCTCGAGCATGACCCACTGCAGTCGGGGGAAGGAGACTGCAAGTATGACTGGCTAGACATCTGGGATGGCATCCCTCAGGGTAAGCCGTGGGGTGCTGCACTGCTTTCCTTGGCCCTTCCTGGTGTCACAAAGCTCCAAAACTGTGCAGTCTCTGTCTGAACACCAAGGGTGCCTAACCTCAAAGGTGGCTGCAGCCTGCAACCTGCCTTTAGGGCACACCATGGCCAGCCTGGGGACAGTGTGCCTGCTGAAGGCTGCATTCATTAAACCACAAACTACTGCTCTGTTGTAACCACTGATCTGAAAAGCCCCATGGGACACTCCAAACACCAGCAGTTCTCCCTCAGGGAAGGGCAGTGGGTTCATGCAATGATGGGAGTACTTCCCTACCTTATAGCAAAACCAAGAAACAGAGCATTTTGGAGCATTTCCCAGCAATTGCAGAGCAATGCCTGCTGCAGTGGATATTTCTGCACTGCATGGCACCAGGCCAATGGATATAAAAAATAGCCCATCCCCAAAGCCTATCTTTTTTATCCTGATCAGCAATGAGCTGGTGACCCAGGAGGCCAGTGGAAAAGCAGGCATTACCTTTGCTGCTCTTTCTTTTGCAGTTGGCCCCTTGATAGGCAGGTATTGTGGTGTCAATATGCCATCGGACATCCGCTCGACCACCGGCGTCCTCTCTCTCACCTTCCACACGGACCTGGCAGTGGCTAAGGATGGTTTCTCTGCTCAGTACTACTTGATCCACCAGGAAGTCCCAGAAAGTGAGTTGGAAATGTGTATGTATGACTTAGTTGTGTCCCCTGTGTTTCCCATCTTTCATTTGGCATATCTGAGAGTAAAGCAGGCAGAAGTGTGTCCAGGGACTGGTTCTCCACCAGCAGTGCAGACAGCAGTTTCACTTAGGTCTCTTCTCTATTTTGATAGAAGTAAGATTTCAAGTAAGAATTTAACTTTCTGACCTTTTCTTGACTTTTCACTTGCTTGTGAAGTCTTCTGAATACCTTTTGGGTTAGCATCCTTCATGTATGTACCAAAGGATTTAGGGGAAGACTTTAGCCCAGCATGTGCAGCAGATTCATTAAAGCATGGGGAAAAATATGCGCTCTCTCTCTCTCTCTAGTTTTCCAGAAATTCACAGTCCCAAACCACAAATTGGAATTTCTTGGCTGTCTAATTAAAGATTGCTTAAAGCTCTAAGAATTTCAAGCCAAATTTTGTTTTATAACCCTTAATAAGGGTTATAAAACAAATTGATATGGAGTGAGAAAGTAAGTTGTGTGTTTTGAGAATGAAGAGCATTTTGATTTTTTATGATAACACAGGCAAGAAAAGATTCCATTTGTTTTCCCATGATATTTTTTGCTTCAGAGCTACTGTTCTTGACCTCTGTTCACAGCAAACCTCTGATACAACACAAGGAGCCTCCAGGACAACCCTCAGTCCCAGAGAAAGACAGGGAATCCCTGACCTGCCACTGAAAGCCTGTGACAGAGAGCAGGGTAGAGTAGGGGTTGTGCAGCACCAGGGCAGCAGGGTTACAATCTCTTACTCTGTGAGTAAGGATTGTTCTGCTGAGGTGTGAGAGTTACAGATAAGCATGAGCTCTTCACCATCACCTATTGCCACACTCAGTTGATCTGTTCTTTAATCCCTTTTCTGATCTGGATTTGCGAATAAAATGTTGAACACAAAGCTTGAGAAATCAAGCACCAGAGCCTTTGTGAAAGTGCCAGGCCTGTTTTCCTTTATGGTGGTGTAAAATGAAAGTTTAATAATAGCACTGACATCCTAACTTGGCCCATCATTTCCATCCAAGGTTGACTTGACCACATTAAAAAACACAGGCAGTTTGGTGGAGCCCTGTTGGTTTACAGCAGAAGCACGTTTGCACCCATGCAGTATTTTCTATCACTGATTTCTTTGGTATTGTTTTTACAGGACAGCTGCTCTAAAATAGATGAGATGTGCCATAAAAATGAGCTAATTGTGACTTCTAAAGCCTTAGAAGTGAGGAGATCCAAACAAAAGCATAACAGTGTCTTTCATAATCTTGTCTGGTTAATCCCTATGGGCCTGATACCACATACAGTGCATGCAGATAGACACAGACACAAACACACGTGCATCCCTGCTCTCACATGCTCACAAAACCTTTAGAGCTGCCCATTCCAATCCTTGATGTTCCTGCCGGCAACAGTAAGCACCCTCCTTATGTGTCTGTCTGTATTCCTTGCCTTGTCAGTGCTTAGACCTACAGCCCTCAAAATGGGAGCTTTGTGGCAAGGGTACTTGGAACATCTTGGTGGAGTGCAGGCAGGCAAGGGACAGAATTGTGTCAAAACTGAACAAAGGTGAAGAAGATAGAGAAAGGGACAAAGATCCAGACTGTATTAGTGTTCAGAGGGCCATGCAAACACAAAGCTGCCCTATCTATAATTTTTCAGTGCCATCTGTGAACACACAACCTGCAAGATGGTGCTGATCTGTTCATCTTTCCAGTCAGGCAGCTTTGCTCAGGGTTAGCTGGAGAGATTAGTTAAGAGCTGCCTTTCACTCGGGGGTGAAGTACTGAGAGTGTAAACCAATCTCTGTGTATGTGTGTTTCTGCTCTAGACTTTCAGTGCAATGTGCCTCTGGGGATGGAGTCTGGCAGGATCTCCAACATGCAGATCAGTGCCTCCTCCACCTACTCGGATGGGCGATGGACCCCTCAGCAGAGCCGGCTCAACAGTGATGACAACGGCTGGACCCCCATTGTAGACAGCAACAAAGAGTACCTCCAGGTACCTTTCCAGCCCCCTCGCCTCTTCCCCCACCAAATGGAGTGTCACGCTCTTAAACTGACCCTTGACCATAAGGGCTGTTGAATTTTTTATTGCCTCTGGCTCATGGGGAGAAGCAGCAGGGGAGCTGCAGTGCCTCGGTGAAATGCGGCAGGCTGGCTCTCCCATTAGCTTGCCCACACAAGGACTGACTCCATCCGCTGTCTCTCTCCCAGCCCCTCCTTTCTGCCCAAACCTTGATGGACTTTCCATCAGACTGACAGAGACTGAGAGACCTCTGCCACTTACAAGGGCCACTGACTCCACCACTGGCCTGAGGACCAAAGTCTCCAGAGGGTGCATAGAAAAACAACTAGAATAATATTTATCTCATCAGCGATGCAGGAAGCGTGAGCGGGCTGATGTCAGGCGGGGGGCTGACAGAGCAAAGGCTTTCCCTGGGAGCTGGTTAGAGCCACAGTGTGTCCACACACAGCTTCTGGCTGTGTCACATCGCTGGGAGACACTGCTTGCTAAAGGGCACTACGAGCAGGAGGTGCTGAATGTCATTGCCTCTAGCAGACGTCTCATTCTTCATTCATGGCAGGGCTACTAAGCCAGCTCTGCTGACCTTTCTCAACCCATGTTGTAAAACAAACAGGAAAAAAAACCAGCAGGGCAAAACCAAGAGCTGCAGCACTTGCTAATTGGATATTATGCTTTTATTTTACATGGAAAAAGTCAGTCTCTGTCCTGCTTTAATGGATGTGCTCTTCTGTGCAGATCCTATTGCTTGGTCTGAGGCAGGAAGAAGGCTTTGTGATGGTCCCATATAAACAGACATCAAGATCCTTAGCTACTCTTGTCCCAGGGTTCTATCCTGCTGAAGTCAGCCCTGGCAAGGGTCGTGGATGTTGAACTGTGCACCCAGAGAGAGTGAGACGGGCTGAATTTGCACCTTTTAATTTTTCAGAGACAGAGAGAGGAACTAATTAGCCACTCTGGACTCTCAGGTGGTCACCACTCTCTTTCTTGTCCCTTTTTCCCCTGGCAAGGTGGACCTCCAATTCCTGACTGTGCTCACAGCCATTGCCACACAGGGTGCCATCTCAAGAGAAACCCAGAAGGGCTACTATGTGCGTACCTACAAGCTGGAGGTCAGCACCAATGGGGAGGACTGGATGATGTACCGACACGGGAAAAACCACAAGGTAATGTCCTTTTTGTCTCTTCTTCCTGCACCTTGGTGAGTCTTGCAGCCAACAAGAGGGAAGAGAACAGAGATTTTGCAGGCCCAGAGGGTTTAATCTGTGAGGGACCCTTTTTCTGATGGCGGCTAAAAGACTGATGATGCTCTGAGCAGAAATAGTCCTTTCTCCTCTGCACAGCAATGAGGAAACACTATTCCTTGGAAAACCTAGCTGCTGCTGCATCGTTCATGGTGGTGAGAGTATGTTCTTTGACTGCAAATGAAGGAGAAAATGTTTTCACAGCCTGTGTTTTGCCATATAAGATTCATTGAGCTTTTGTGGTCGTAGACCCGTCTGCATGCTGGGTTAACAATCACAAAACCACATGAAACTGTAGTTCAGGAGTTACTGAGGCCTGGAAATGAAAGGGCACAAATCCTAAGAGGCAATTGCACCATCCCAGAGAACAAAATGAGCAATAAATAATGAGAAACAATTCAGGCTGCCAGAGCTGTGAGATCTGCACTAAGCAGGCATGGTCAGAATGGGTGCATTGAGCCCTGGGAGCTGTGCGTGCTCTTGCTGTGTTTCTGGGACACCCACAGAGGTGGGAGCAAGGAGGAAGGAGGGTAAATATGAGTGTTCATCTGTGTCACACCATATGGATGCTGGTGTGTGGCCAGGAAAGATAAACTTGGAGTGGTTTGCATGGGAAGTGTATGGAGAGGAGGGTTAAGGTAGCCATGGTGCCAGGCTGGCTTTTCTGTCTATTGCTTTGGTCATGTGGTTGTTCCCTGGTTAAGGGTGCCTCAAGAAAGTGCTTCTCTGCTCTTCTGTGGCACCCTCCAGCACTGCTGATGTGTTCAGGTGCTCCCTGCTGATGTGCCATAGTGTGTCTGTGTGAACTCTGGCTGGGTCCCACACACCTCCCCCCACACACATGTCCCAGTCATTTTTGATTGCTCAGCACTTCTATTAAATTAGCTGTCCCTTCCCTTTGCTGGCACGAAATGCAGTAGCCTGCCTTGTCCAGGATTCATCCAGACATTTCCTTCCCTTCCGGGCTGTGTGATTTCCCCTTCCCCACAAGTCTTAGGTTCAAATTCCCTCTGCTTCCCAGAATGAGTCCTCACTGTGCAGAGGTACCTATCAGGGTTTCATACCTGCAATATTTGGAGTATTTCAGCTCCTCATGTGCCAGTGAGGGTGTGTGAGTCCTATTTTAGAAGTAGGGAAATGGAGGCACAGGGCAGTCCAGCACCACATAGGGGAGTCCTCAGCTGGGCTCCCCCAGATCTTGGGTGCGCTGGCTCCAGGACAGTAGCTCATGGCAGAGCTCATGTATAGCCCTAACACAGTGCCCATGCAGTGGTGTGGAGCCTCTGTGCTCTACCAGGACCCACTGGTCACAGCAGACCTTTCTGTGAACCGGGGCCATCTCTCTCCTCACCCCAGGTGAGTTTGGGGTCTCATTGGGACCTTTTCTGTAAGCTGAGTCAGGCAGGATATCCTCATCATGCTGGACAGAGAGATGAGCTATGTACACAGCTCAATGTTCCAAATAACCACTGGCAATAAATTTATCTTTTCAAGTCTTATCTGGAGCAGAAATCTGGCCTGGAGGATGGTTTTAGTTGCAGAGGAGAATAAATATCCCATCCTTGCAGTCCTGGGCATTGGACACTGCATCATCAGCCAGGGTGGAGCAGGACAGCATGACTGGTTTCAGTGCTGCTCAGCCAATTTACATTGCTCCAGCAAGACCCTAAAGCCTGGCTGGTGTCAATCCAAAACAATCCTACAACCATCTGAATTGTCACCATTTCAGGACTTGGCCCTTGATTTCTGTCAGCTTTCTTCTACTCTGTTTTCTCTTTTCATTAAAAAAGTGGAAAAAATCAAACCTCTTCTTTTTTACTCCTCTATTCCAGTATCTATTCATTCCCACATTCTGGCCTTAATGTACCAGACACCTCCCAAGGCTGGAGGATAAGTAATTGCTTTTTGGTGGCTCGCCTACCCCTCGCATCCGGGTGACTGCTTTCCTGCCCCGCCAAACAACTGGCTGCCAGCTGCTGAGCTACAGCAGGGCCAGGCCAAGGCCACTTGCTCACAGACCTGGTGCCGGGGGGGCGGTGGTCCCACATTCCGTGCCCACACTAAGCCTGCTGTTCCTGTGCTAAACAAGCTCCCAGATGTCTGTGCTCAAGGTGCAGCTCCCTCCCTGCATCAGTGCAGAGCTCGGTGCAGCCCAGGCTGCAGCGCTGGAGCAAACCATGCCAAAGGGATTCATCAAGTCTGCCGCAGCTTGATTTGGTGCCATGAGAGCAGGGAGGGAGGGGAAGGTGTGGACAGACAGGGACTCTCTATATACATGCAGATAGATACAAACACACACACACATATATATATGTATATATAGACACATACATATATGCACATGCATATATCTGCACATGCACACGTATATATGCACATGCACGCATAGGCATACGGGGTGTACCAAGCACTGCTCAGAATTTCTGCCGGCTCTGTGGGCCAAAAGCAGTGCTCTGCCGCGTGTAGGCGGGTCAGCTAACATTCACATCTTCATCGAGGAGCTAATGCAAGAGAAAACCAGCGAGTGCAGGGGGGTGGAGAGGGGATGATGCTCCCTGCAGAGAGCATTGCCTCTCATTGCCTCTCTTTTGCCCCCTGCTTCCCCTCCCTCCGGTGTTTCAGATGACAGTGGGGCCAGGGTGTTTCCCTGCAAATGTGATGGCTCACCTTTGAGTCCCCAGCTGCTGGCACTCAGCAGCAAGGGAAACGGGAAAGGCAGGATGGAGCAGCGGAAAATGTGATTAATATGTGCTCACAGCAGACAGGGCTGGCTGGGCTGTTTCCGTGCCGAACACTGCTATGTTTCTGGGATGGGGAGGCAGTGGGAGGGCAGCCGGCAGGAGTGGAGCTCCACACACACTCCCTCCCCTTCCCACCCCATCCCTGCTAGGTTTTCCTCCTTCCTGGCAGCCCAGTCCCTACAAAGCCTGGCCCAGACATCCCCCTGTTCCGGGGCTGGTGCTCTGTCTTTCCCTCAGGCATGGGGCCAGGGTGGGAGGCTAACCCAGCAACTTGGCCAGAGGTTCTGTGCTGTCTTCTTGTCTGTCCTTGAGAGGGGAGGCAGGGAGGAGAATGGCCCCCACCACGTGCCATCCTCACCAGCATGCCCCTACCAGAGGACAGGGCCAAACCAACCCTGCTGCAGAAAAGCTGGTCTGGCTCTTGCCCACCCTGTTTTCCTCCACCTCCTGTGACCTGGGACCTGGGACCAGGCTGATGGCCTCTGAGGTTTGAGGTTATCTTCCAGGCATCAGCCCTGGTGTGCGTGCCAGATCTTATCTAATGGTTTGCAAATGTCTTTAGAAAACAACAACTCTTCTTGAACCCAAGGAAGGAAAAGAGCACCTGGCAGGATTTGACCTTTTGTTTTTGGCCATTTTCTTCACCTGGCAGGATTTGACCTTTTATTTTTGTCCATTTTCTTTGGACAGGCTCAACTATGAGGATTTTATCAGAAAACCAAGCTCTCATCCATTTTGATCCTCTTCCTTCTTTGTAGCATCTTGGGTTCCAGCTCCCATGTGGTGGGAGCTGCTCCATCTTAGTAACTGTGGAGATGAACTCATAGGAATCATCTAGTGTGGCAAGGGACTGGGGATGGGATGGATTTCAGGATTTGGAGTGGGTTAGGGCCATGATGAGTGCTGCTCTCACTGCCTCCATTGATCTGTGTGTAAAATTTTCAGAATCTGTAGAAGTCAATGTATGAGAAATGGCAGCAAGATCCAGCTGATGTGTATTTTTCATTTCTTACTTATTTTGGTTTTGTGCTTGTTATTAGTTAACTTTCCTGAGTGGCATTTCAGGTGGTAGCTGCACAAAGATTGAATTGCTGCAAGGAGCAGGGTCTCAGCTGTACACTGCAGGTGGGAACATCAGAGGTTTTTGGTGCTGGCTGTGAATATTGAGGATGACTCTTTGGAGACCCTTGTGCCTTCCCTTAGGAGTGTTCCTCTGTCTTTTCAGTTCTTAGGTCTCCTGTATTTACTCACCTGAGGAAGGAGAGAAAAGCTTTAAGTCCTGTGGCTTTTTTATCTGGAAAACTAAGGAAAAGCTGGCACAATGAGCCAGAGGGCCACAAGTGTTTCTGTGCAGAGACATGGTGCAGAGGATTTGCCCAGAAACATCCAGGTCCCAGCTTGCTTCTGCTGCTTTCTTAGGCAGGACAAAGACATCAGGCTTTGCCAAAGGCAGACTTGTGCATTCACCCTTGGTGCAGTACCTGGGGAGTATTACAGCCCTGAATTTCCTAGCAAGGCTGCAGCTTTGTATTTCTGGGCCCGATATCTCCTTTGCAGGCTAACATAGTACCACTCCTCATGTCCCTGATGACTCCCAAATCTGAGTGGAGCCTCTCAAAGACACGGAGCTGGCAAGCCCAGCCCAGCACAGTGTGCCTTGCCCAGACACAGTGCTTTGTTAAGTGTTGCCAAGTATCATTTTTCTTTTAACTCCTTGTTCCTGGATTTAATAAATCCAGAACTATCCACCCTCCACTTGAGCCAGAATCCTCCCACCATCAAACATGCCCCATTTTATGCCTTCCCTATCTGACAAGGAAAATAATCTCCCCTACTTTTCTCCTTCATGCTTCTCTGTCTAAATCCTGAAGCCCTAATCCTGTTAGCATGCTCTGTTCCAGAGCTCTGTCTCCACAGGAGTAACATAATCCTGCAGTAAATCTAGTGGGTCCAAAGAGACACATACGTATGGATGAAGGCAGGGCTGCTGCTGTCCTTGGCCTTCTCCTCTTCCTCCCTCAGCCACTTTCTTCAGCACCCCAAGAAATTGCATAGTGGCCAAGCAGCATAACAAATAAAGCAGGAGAGAGGTTCCCTCTTACCCCCTCCCTGACTCGCTGCCTCTTCAACTTCATGGCACTTTTTGTCTCCCTGTCCTTCATCTCCTTCACTCCAAGCTGTCAATGGCACAGTTCCCATATCCACTGGAACTAATGTAGCTTCAGCAATCCCCCCCATCACCCTATGATGGTTCCAACATGTCAGAAATGCAACTTGTAAATGCTGCTGTGGAGCTTGCATGTGTATGCACATGGAAAACTTTTGCAGTCCTCCTCTAGCCTAGACATCATGTCCCCTACTTTTACAGCCTCTCCCTAACCACTTGCTTTCTTGCAGCAAATTAATTAAGCAGGTCGGCTCTCATTGATTATCAATTTACTTTCACATGCAGACCTGCTGTCTGGACTAAAACGGAAGTAAACATACAGTGTATGAGGAGAAGATGGGCAGCTCTTTGATGCAGCAGTGAAAGAGAGGTCCCTTGACTGTTTCTTGGAAGGTGCTTTTAATTTGTTAATGGTTTTCCCATTCGTCTTCTGGCTCCATCACCCTTCAGCGTGTGTTCATGTGCATAGGCATGTGTGCTCTCCACTGAGTGTATATCTATTTATCTATCTATCTCTCTAGATCACAGCCAGGTATTTTTTTTTCTGCTGGTGTAAATTACTGTGACTTCTTATACTTCGATGGTGATATGTTGATTTACACCATTCGAAGACTTGGCTCAAAATATGTGCTGAGTGGGATGGGAAGCAGATAGGACGGGAGGAATAGCAATGTTCTATTTTGGTAGAGAGGGAAGAAATCTTTGCTTTCTTGGCACTCCCAATTTCACACATTTTCTTGCTAGTTCTTCCTATGCTGTGAGTGCTAATTTGAGGCAGGATGTGGAGCCTGTTGAAGTCAATGGGCCTCTCTCCACAGTGTGCTGGGGCTCTGGGGTCAGGACTTCAGTACAGGGAAACCAGACGGTCAGGGTCAGATCCTGGTCAGCAGCATCAGGACCTGCAGACTCACAATGCATTTCCACTTGGGAAGGAGGCTGAAAGAGCAGGCATCTGGGAATACCTCAGGTCTCTAACAGCACCAAGCACATGCCCTCTGAAAGTGGCCCCTCTGTGTTATGCTGAACAGGGTGCGAAGCGATGACTTGCCATGATCAGTTGGGGCTGTTCGGAAGCGAGGTTCAATGGAATCCTACCAGAGCAGCTGACAGCACAGCTGGAAGTCAGGTGCCAATTCTGCCCTCACAAGCTGGCAGTCTGGAGTGTCATGGCCCAGATTCAGAGTTCATAGCTTGTTGAATGTGATCTAGCCTGAGTAAGTTGCTGATTTCTTAATCTAAAGCAGAATTGAAATTGCTCTTCTTGGAAGCAAGTAATTGAGACCAAGGTCATCTAAGAGATGTTTTCAGTGATGCCTATAGCAGTGATAAAGTTTTTGGGCTCAGTCCTGCTTCTGCTTTCTGTCAAGCTTGACTGTGCAGAAGTCAGCAACAAATTATGCTGGTGTAAATTTGGATTCTGGCCCCTGATGCTTGTATGTGTGAAGTGAGCTAAAAAAGAACAAAACTTGAAACATGTTAAATCAAAAAGAGCAGCAAACCTCGTCAGTGACTGTTAAACATGCTGGTCCATATGCAACCTTTGGCTCATGAAGTCTTCACACTGCTGACAGTGGGAAGCAAATAGAGGTTGCCAGGAGAAGACTGGACTTGCTGCCCTTGGACATCTGCTGGGGCCACCATTAGGAGCCATCCTCTGGGACAGAGAGACCTTTGGTCTGACCTGACATGCTGCTCCTTATGCTAAAATAGTTGCACTGGCTCAGATAAACATTTCCTGTCCTCCGGTGTTAGGTTCAGAGATAAGGTGTTGTGTGTCAGCTTCTGTGTTGGCATAAAGCTGAAGGCTCTGCTGTGGTGTGGAAATATATCCTTTAAAATTGTTTGTGTGTGTGTCTGTGTGTCTGTGCCTGCGGGTTTACAAGACACACACACACATATGCCTGGAGAGTGTTTCACAGTAACCACTCTTCTTATAGCCCTCCTGCTGGAAAAAAAGGGTATTTGGTGTCTGCTGAGCAAGGAAAAAGATGGGAAGTGAGGTCAGACAGGATAAAATAGGATATTAAAAACACATAAACCATGCTGTGTTGTTAAACGGTAGCAGCATGATATATATTCTCTAGATTAGCATTTCTGCTCAAGTTCACATCAACCCCTCATCCCAATTACCAGCCAGATTTGCAAGTGATTCCCTCTGTGGAGTGGCTGCTCCATCCACTGCTGAAGGAGTGGATGGTGATGTGCAGGGGCAGCCCAGAGATAGCTGGGGTGCCATGAACAGCCCTGTAAACACCCTCTGCACACCCTGCCGTGCTGGATCCTGGGAGAAGAGAAGTAACATGTGCCATCTGCAAGCCTAGAGCCACAGGAGGCTCACAAAATGCTTCCTAGCTGCTATTCAAGGCAAGAGGCCAGAATACTGCCTCACCCCTTCTTCTGTCCTCAGTTGTTTGACTCTTGCCTTCCACAAGAGACTGGTGGCAGAGATTACACTCTCCTGCTTTCCTGAGATAAACTTACTGGGAACTCTTGTGCTTAGTACACATACACATTGTGGAAGCTTGCAGAAGAACCCAGCCAGCATCTCAGTGTGGATGTGGTTCCTAGCTGAGATGGGAGGATAGTCTAGCCCTGTCCTGAAGTGCTTGGAGTGAAAGCAGGCAATGCCTACAGCCTTGGTCAGTGAGCTCTAGTGCTTTATGCTGGGGCAGAGAAAGGGTTGAAAATTATCCTCCCCTTGGGTATTTCCTCTTTCCCTCCCTTTTCTTTCCTACTATGGCTTTGCAGCCTAAAATAGAAACACATGTATCCAGTCCTTGTCCGGCCTATTAAAAAAATGGGCAGAAGAGGTGGATCTAACATCCATCTGGTAGTTATTGATTATGGCCATCTGGTAAGGCAGCAGCCTTTTCATACCATGTGGGATCATAAACTCCTGAAAAGCTGTCTCCATGTGGCAGGCTGCATGTGCACAGGAGAGGCAAAGGCAAGGGGCTGAGTGAGGCAGCAGCTTGTCACCCCAGGCAGAGGGGCACCCTTCCTGCTCACACCATGGCTTGCACGTGATGTTTCCGGGTGGAGCTCAGTGTAAGGATGCATCAGGGGGTCAGCCTGTTTGGGGGCATCTTGTCACTTGTGCTGGAGCAGAACTAGGTCTGGGGGCAAGCTTGAAGCAGCTGGGGCCTGATAGTCTGAGGTGCTCATGGTTCTCAAAGTGCTGTGAGAGGCAGTCAGGCAGAAAGCTCCTGGCCCTCCTGCCTGGTAGGTGAGTCCATCCACCATGCTGTCCTGACAGTGGCTCACATGTCCCTGCAAGCCTCTGGTGCTTGCTCTGGTTGGAGGCTGGCCCTGACCAGAAAGCCTTTCCTTGGTTTTCCCTGCTGAGATTATTTTGACTGCTTATCTGGTGAGGATGTAACAGTGTGTGCAAGTGTACATTTGTGCCTCCCTTCCCTTGCAGACATTTCAGGCCAATGAGGATGCCACAGAGGTGGTTCTCAACAAGATCCACAGCCCAGTGCTCACACGCTTCGTGCGCATCCGTCCCCAGACCTGGCACAACGGCATCGCCCTGAGGCTGGAGCTGTATGGCTGCCGCATCACTGGTGAGAGTCTTCTCCTCGCCCTGGCTTCAGTGCTCCTCTGTCCCTCCAACAGCCTGTCCCAGGGGGCTGTCCCTTGCCACTTCATGGCTCCTTGCGGTGGGAATGGTGACACTGTGACTAGCATGGAGGCATCCATGGCAAGGGATGCACTTGGAGGGACAGGACTGCAGCTCCTGGAGGGAGGGGTAAATGCCCTTTGGTGTTGCTTTAGTGTCCAGAGCTTAATGCTGTGAACAGAACCATGAGCACGCCCCTTCAATTACCCTGACTGTTCATGACCTTTCCTTCCCTGCAGATTCACCCTGCTCCAACTTGCTGGGAATGCTTTCTGGCCTGATTCCTGACTCACAGATCTCTGCCTCTTCCATCAGAGGCTATGACTGGTCTCCCAGCATGGCCCGCCTGGTGAGCAGCCGCTCGGGCTGGTTTCCCCGTGTGCCCCAAGCCCAGCCTGGGGAGGAGTGGCTGCAGGTGGACCTTGGTGTCCCGAAGAACATCAAAGGCGTCATTATCCAGGGGGCTCGTGGAGGGGACAGTGTGACCACCACTGAGTCCCGTTCCTTTGTGAAGAAGTTTAAGGTGGCCTACAGCATGAATGGGAAGGACTGGGACTTCATCCAGGACCCCAAAACAATGCAAGCCAAGGTAGGCACTGCCTGGAGCAGCTGTGAAACAGGATATTTTTCTGACTAGCTTCAGTCTGCCTGATGGGGTCTTGGGAAGCTGGCTGTCCGCTCCCACAGAGACCTTGGGAGCTTGGGGCTGTCACCATGAAATCCCAGGTTGTGTCCCTTGGTGCTGCTACAAACCTGTACTGGTGGCCAGAAGTTCTACCTTTCCCCAGGGATGGCAATTTCTTTCCACTTTCTATTGTGGACCAGGCATGGGGATGTGGACATCACCTGCTGCTTCTCCCAGCTCCTGCAGGTCAGAGTCCAAAAGATGGTGTGTTTTATTATGTTTTGTGTAAAACATTTATGTTTTACATGAACTAATTACATATTTTAAGGGGAAAGGTGTGGCTGTTGTGGTGTGCACCTCTGAAAGAGGAAGATAATCACAACTTCTCTTTAGGAAATTTTCTATATCTGAAGTCCCTTTGCCACACTGGTGTGACCCTGAAATTCCCCATATTTTTTCTTTATCATTGGAGTTCCCCATAATCTTTCTGCTTAGTGCTATGGGAGTGGCAGGGGGATTAAGGAGGAATAAATAAATTCCCTGCTACTGCCTGTTCTGTTTTTATGCATACTCCTCTGCCTAAAATTTGGGGAAGTTTTAATTTTTCCTGATCCTTCAAATGAGGGCTGATGCTACCTATAGCCCTCTGTTTATTCCCCACAGACTTTAGTTTGTTCATGTAAGCTGAAAAAGAGCAGTACTTGGACTGTGAGGAAAACCAACCATTTACACCATCCTAGAACATGCAGTAGCTTCTTTATTTACCACAGGACAAATCTGATCTCATTTATATGTGAATTTAGTGGATATTCCCTAGGCTTCCCCTGCATGGCTTGGATCAGAATCTAACCCCTGGATTCTGAGCAGAGGCCAGGAGAGATTGTGCAAGTTTCTCAGAAATAGCCTGGCTGGTCCTCTTGAAACCAAGAAGAAACAGCCCAATTTCTGCTCAGCTGGGCTCAATGGCCTGGGGTCAGTCAGACTGTGGCCACATTCTGCCAGACCCAAAATATCAAGTCCGGTTGAGAGCATGTGAAATACTCACAATGCACACATCTCTTGCCTTCTCTCTCTCTCTCTTTCTCTCTGTAGCTTTTTGAAGGCAACATCCACTACGACATCCCTGAAGTCCGGAGGTTTGACCCTGTTCCTGCCCAGTATGTCCGAGTGCACCCGGAGAGGTGGTCCCCAGCGGGAATAGGAATGCGCCTGGAGGTGCTGGGCTGTGACTGGACAGGTAGGAGCCCCTACACCTCTGCCCACTGCCTGCTCTGGGGCCAGGCACTACACCAGCAAGGCGCAAACTTCAGGTTATTTCCCCCTGCCCTACCTCAGCCATGCTGTGGCAGGGAGGCTGCAGCCATGAAGACAGCACCTGTATGGTGGCTTGGCCCCACCTTTAATTTCCACCTTGAAAAGAACTGGCCTTGATGCAGGATGTAGCAGCAATGTTTGGACTCCAAGCTTTCACACAGGGCCCCATGCAGAATTTGTCCTCAACTCCCTTCACGCTCCTTTCAGATCTTTTACCTGGACATGGTGCAGTCTTTCACAGCCTCTTATGTTAGAGGACATTTGGGCTTTTTAGTCCAAATAATATGACAAAAAGTAGGAGGAGAAGCAGAGTTGCAGTGACCAATACTTCGTATCCTGAGCTGCCACAACAAGGCTTTGCTGTAAAAACAACAGTCCCTCTCTCACTGAACCCAAGTGGAAACCTTTTTGCAGACAAGGTTGGGAAGTTAACTCTACAACATCTCTACAAACATCCCTAGGACCCAGGAAACTTGGTCACTTTTACCCACCTGTTTTTCACACGTGGTATGCCTTTCAGCCACCATTTTTAATACAGAGATGAAAACTGACTTCACACACTTACTGGGATCAGTAGAGGTTGTGCCTCTGGCCCTCTGAGGTTCAGTGGTGATTGATTTCTCCACAGTTTCATTCCCAAAAGCAAAAAATGCACCTGAAGGGTCATTTGGTCTGATGCTAACTTTGCAGTGCCGGCAGCTAGTTATCCTCTTTTTGAATCTTTTATTTTTAATAATCTGCTTACATATGAATCTGGAGTCCAGATGTCAGTGATAAAGAGGTATGATTTCCATTTTTTAAACAGATCTGTAGAAAGCATATTTTGTAAGAATTCCCATTCTAGGAAGCTTGAAAGACACAGATCTTTTTTTACCCTCTTGTGCAGTCTTAAGTAGCATTTCCTCCTGTGACATGCTGCAAGATGCATTGCAAACACTTAACAGCAAATCACACAACACATGTACACACTATTAATAACAATAATTGTTCACATTTGAAGTCAATAGTAAATATCCCCCTGGACTGGCAATCCATTGTAAATTATCTGAACTTTAAATCGGATTAGATCTTAATTTAAATTTTACGACATCTTAGGATGTTGTGGGAGAAGCAGGTGCAAGAAGCAGGAGCTGAGGGCTTTGTGCAGACATGGTCAGGCAGCTCCCACATTGCTGCTTCCTGCAGCTCCCAGGAGTCTCCAGCTGCGAGATCTCTGCAGACTGTTGCTGGATGGTGCATCACAGCACTGCATCGCTGCCATAGAGGGAAGCAGGACCTCCAGCCATGTGCATGCCAGCCCTTCCACTGCACTCCTCCAGCTTAGAGAATGAGGGGTTTGTCATCTTTAATGCCTTGTGCTATTTTTGGCCAAATTCTCTTTTACCTGTGTGTCCATGCTCATTTTCAATATCGGTAGCAACAGCGCATGTTTTTTCCAGGCAAGGTGCTTTATGGTCGTTTCCCAGTCTGGGTAATAATTTGCACATTGTAATGTTTAAAACTCAGCTGCCAGGTCATAAATATCCCTAGCTTTATTAATCTACAGGCATTCAGCTTTGTAATCAGAGCAGGGCTTGTAATCTTGTGGATTCACCATGTTATAAAAAGCATTTATATCCCTGATGCAACCTGGGGAGCAGAGATAGCCCATGGCATTATCTGCGTGCATAATCCAGGCTGGCTACATGCAGCAGGCTTGACAATCCCCAGAAAGGGCCCTCCTTTGCCGGGAGGACCCAGGCATGTTACAAAAGTGGCTGCAAAAACCCAGGCCAATTGCACTTGCTTGGGAACAAGATTAAGAAATAGATTAAAACAAGATGATTAAAATATTTTCAAGAGAGGGTCTAAGCCCATGTTCATCCTGCCCAGGTGTTTCTATTTCTTATCAGCAGCAAGCATCTTAATTACTGAGTTAAACATGTAACAGCCGCAACTGGGCTCACAAACTAGCTGGCTACTAACTCAAAAATTGGGAAGCAGGCAGTCAGCAATTGGCTTCTTTCAAAGACCTGCCAAAATTTTTCCTCTGAAGAGTGGAGAATGATGAATGTTCACTAGCAGCTGGGTTTCTATCCTTTGAAGATCCAAACATCTGGTTTCAATTGCTCAGTGACTTTGCATTTTGATTAGCAGTTACCACCAGTTGAACAGACACTTGCAGGGCCAGGGAGGAGTGAGAAAGCGAGCAAGCAAGACCTCTCTTTTTCACTTTCCATTTCACACATGACGCTGTCCTGCCTGTTATTTTCATTATCTCTTGTAACCATCGTGTTGCAGCTCTACCATGGTAACTGATTTTTCAAGATATATTTCTGCGGCTAGTCCAGGGCAGTGCAGCACTGTGATTTACATCCGCTCAGCATCTGTGTCCCATATGGGACTTGCTTTCAAGGTCCTTCCACACTGTCACATTTCAGCTATAAATCTTGATATACAGGAACAACAACCTAAAAAAATGTACCCACTCTAAATAAGTTCCAGCTTTCGATATGTTGCTTTCACCTGCTGCTTTTTTTTTTTCTTTTTTTATGACATTTTTCTGTGCCTGGCTGCTTGCAATTTGCTTCTTGGTTGCATTTGGAGTTTTATGGGGTTGTAACAAATTTGAACTTACAAATTAAAAGACTTTGAGGCTATTTGGTATTTTATCCTGAACAAAAGACAGCCATTGGGAAAAAAAATAAAAACCAAAAAAAACGAGAGAGTTTATGTACAACATGTTTAATAACAGGAAAATAAAAGGGCATAAAGGAACCTATGGAAAATATTCAATGTATTTAGCCATTTCCTCCTGCTTCTGGCTTTATTAAATGATATCCTGAAGGGTGCCGACAAAGAAACGCAATCACACATAACTGAGAAAAGCTGCCTCTTTCTAAAAGTGGAAAGAATCAAGTCTGCTGTACTCCACTTAATGCACCCATAAAAGGAGAGTTTGCTGGAACCTAATGTCATTTACTGTTGATCTTAATATCCTTCCCTTTCTTGCTTAAATTTCCCCTGACACCTGCTTGGAGGTTGTTACACATGGGCCACATTAGAGAAAGGGAAATTGGACAGAGACCCTTTGAAAGCGTAGTCAGGAGCCTGGAGTGTGAAACCAGATGCTTTCTGCAGTGAGCCAGAGCTCACTAGGGGATCCTCTGGGTCCGTTTGCGGTTACATCATTTGTGGGTTTGAGTGACTTGTTTTATAAATTGGCACAATTGGTGGGAATGTTGTGTGTGTTTTTTCAATGTGTCATATGGCTTTATGAAAGAAAAAGATGTTCTGCCTGTGATCTCACGTATCCAGTAATGACAGCTAAGTGGATTTCCAACTACCCATGTAGATTGTAGATTAAAAAATTAAGAGAAAAAGTAGTGTGTATGTCTAGAGAAGAGGCTTGTTCAGTGGGAACTCCAAATCCATAGAACTCCCATATGGAAAGACAGTTCACTTGAAGTTCAAACCATGCTGACATTTGTAGCATGTGGAAATCTCATGGCATACTTGTTCTATCTCTTCCTGCCATTATAAGAACATGAAGAAAAAGATTTTTGCCTTGTTTCTACTACCTGGGCTTCTTGTTCTGTCTGTTGCAAACAACTTCTCTACTCCATTTTTTTCAGATGTCAGGCCCACTGCAGAGACACTGGTGCCCACTTTGAAGAGTGAAGAAACCACCACTCCCTACCCTACTGATGCAGAAGCAACAGACTGTGGTGACAGCTGTGGAGAAGAGGAGGGTATGTATCAGAGCAGCACATCTCTATCTCAATAACTGATGGGTTAAGAGCTAGGAAAATACTCTTATCTTCCCATTAGTGCCAATACATGGGGCTGATTCCTGGAAAGCTTAGAGTAATATTATTAGTGATGGGCCAGGATTAAAAAAAAAAAAAAAAAAGAAACCAACCCATAAACAAATCTGCCAAAATCTGATAAGTTCTATCAAGGAAGGATGGAAGAGCAAGAGATAGCAACTAATTCGGTCCCTGGTGTACAAGAGATGAAGAGCTGGTCTCCCAGCTTCCTTACATGACCTGAAGAAACTCATTTAGTGCCCTGTTTGGAACCATCTCCATTCCAGACCACCTCTTGGCTGCAAATCATAAACTCAGAAGGTGATTCAGACTGCCTGGTATGCAGGGCTCCTTTTGCAGAAGTCACAACTGTGGAAGTAAATCACAACATGTATCAAAGACTGATGTCCTGAACACTTATCTGCCTAAGGATCATCTTCCCTGATACCAGCAGCTTAAAATTTAGGAGGACAGTCTGGGCTCCTTGTGTGGGCAGTAGAGAGAGGGGAACACTAACTCCACGCAGAATTTCATCTACCTAGCCTTAGATGGCTGTCAGATGTACGCGAAATGGTTTGGTAACAGTAGCACTTGACTACTTCTGAGGATGGAAGAAACTGAATGTTAGTTTAGACTTCATGCTGTGCTTGTTAAGGGCCAGTGCTTGGGGAGGGCTAATCTTCTCTGCCTCAAATCCCTGTCTGTAAAAGCAGACATCATATTCTTCTGCTTCTTGCAAGGGGGATGTGTGCATCTAAGGGTTGTGAAATGTCCAGATTAAGAGGAGAGGGCTTGACAGAGCTGTGCAAGGTTAGTTGTACAGTGCAACGATCAGGAAATGCATTCCCCTGGGTGCAACAGCAGAGCCTGGGCCTCAGCACTGGAGCATGTACACAAGGACTTCAAGAAGAATCTCACAAGGAAAAACTATCCTCTGAGATATCTCCTAGGACTTCTGTCACTTCAGCTTTCAGTCCCAGATAAAAAAAAATTAATGGGTTTTTAAATAAATAAATTTATAAAAGAACATTAATTGGCTTTTTCACACCTCCCATGGGGATTCTGCCGTACTTTAGTTCTAGAAATGCAAGTTGCAGAAGTAGCTCAAAGGGCCTGATTCTCATTGCTTTGCCTTAGTGGTAAGCCTGTGCAACCCTGCAACCATTGAGGCACTTGGGAAAGTGCTGAGAGGAAATTTAGGCCAGTAACAGTCTCTGCAAGAACACAATTCCTGGGTGCAATCCAGGGCAAGAGAGCAAGCAGAGTATGTCGTGGAGCGTGGAACCAGCCTCCCTGTCAGCTTCCCTCAGATTTAGCAAAAATTTTCATTCTCATACTCCATAAAACAATGAGTGTGTTTCTCTGGACAATCAGATTTATGACAGCCAAACAGAAACAATGCTGCTCTCCAGGGTATGAGATTAGATTGGAATAAAAGGATCCATGATCCACATTGTTTTATTTTGGAGTGGGAGCATGTAAAAAAAGCCCGCTGCCCCTTGCAGTGAAGTTCTGCTGATGCCTATCACTTGAGTCACTCACCTCCTTCTGGCTATGGCTCACTTTGTGGGCACTGTGATTTAAAACTTCCTCTTTGCTCAGGAAAATCCTGGCCTATAATTAGGCTCAGACATGCATGTCCGCTGAGTGCCTGGTATGGACTCAGCCCATTTCTGCAGCCTCCATGGCACGTGACTGATTCCCTGAGCCCAAGGAGCCAGCAGCTGCCTCACTGCCACATGCAGCCCCTGGCATGTGCCCGCCTGCCCACAGCCTGCAGAAAAGCTCTCCAGAGCTTTCAAAGCTGTTGTCACAGGGGAATTAACTCTGCTCCTGTTTCAAGATGGAAAGTTAAAGAACTCGCCCAACGACCATGTGGTGAGTCCATAGCAGAGCTAGAAATAGAGGCTGGCTTCTTTCACTCAGAATCCAAAAGCTTGAGCTCATGGTGGCCCCACATTTTCCCTGGTAACATTTCCACAAGAAGGTAGGAAGCAGTGAGTGACAGCTCTCCAGGATGACAGACAGCTCCCGTCTGGTGCAAGTGGCTTGGTCTGTCACTCAGGAGCTGGGTTTCTGGAGCACTTGAGATTCTCCTTTTGGAACCAGGCAGGAATTTCTGAGCATGGGGCACTCAGGAAGGACTCTTCCCTGACATTTAAAAAGGCATTTAATTTTGACCACTCTAGGGGAGGAAGAAAAGGTGCTGATTAGAGTCTGGAAGCATTTGGTTCTTGCTTTTATATTTGCTTAGTTTGGTGGATTAGCCACAGGACATGGTGTGAACATTTTGATGATACAGAACTTAAGGCTGATCCTTGGAGCTGAGGAAATGTGAGATAGGTTAAAAGCATCAGTCTGAGTGAGATTTCATGCTTTCTTCAGTTTTGATGGCTTGCCAGCTATTTTAGTTTTGGGTTGTTTTTTAATAGCAACCCTTCATGGGTAGGTCATTTTTTTAATCTGACTTTATTTTGCTTCTATTTCTTTTTGTAAGATTTCCAACTCCCTGCGAACTTCAATTGCAACTTTGATCTTCCTGAAGACCTTTGTGGTTGGTCACACGACTTGGCAACTGGCTATACGTGGTCTTTCCAGCCTTCAGGCACCTGGATTGGCAACTCTGATCCAAGCCCTGACACTGTGCCTGGTAAGATGATTAATACCAACCAAAGGAGGGAAGAGAGAGCTGATGGGTCTTTGTCCATGTGAACAGTATGAATGATTATTGCACAGCTCTCATGAGTTGCAAGGGCTGTGCAGAGCTGAACTTCTTTTATGGAAACTTTCAGATGCTTTATTGTATGGTTCATGACTTATTTATAGGACTGTGACCACTGGCACTGAATTATACTAACTGTCCTCTTGAGATGGACTTGAATCAGACACTGGGCTTTGAATCCCATGGGACTGTGAAGGCTAGCCCAGGCTTTGTTCCACATCCTGATCCAAATGTCCTCTGTAGGATCCAGTGCTTTTTCCCCAGAGTGCATTTCTTCCTCTCCCATATGTTACTCAGATTGCCTATAGTCTTCAGCTACTCTGCACTCTGGGCTCGCAGAGGCTGGATTTCAGTCTCCTCCAAGTGAAGGATGAGCTAAGCCCTAAGAGTGCTGGAAATGCCAGCTTCTTGCTGTTTGACTTTTGCTCTTTTTCTCTTCGTGCTTTGGAAGCAGAAGATTTGCATGAGTGTGACAGAGCCTAATTTATGGAGGACCTCACTGAGATGTGCTGGCATGGCTTGCAAGGGAGCCTGCCTCTGGCAATGTAGTTGATAGATCAAGTTCTTCAGCTTCACATCTTGGAACTCACGCCAGGACTAGTGTGCTTTCCTTATCCCTCATTGACTTTGTGGCATGGCTGGCACGAAGAGCATTTGCCAATTTCCTTATAACAGTAGGCTGTGTCACTGTAGCACTGCTTCACTCTCAGTCACTACTTGTGAAAGTCAAGGCTCCTGCAGGCGAGCTGGCTGATCTTACCTGTCCTGGGCTCTGCCCTGATGCCTGGTGATTCCAGTGTCTGTGAGTCCCATCCCCATGAGTGTCTGTGAGTCCCTCCTCGCCCTCCCCTGGGTAAGGTTGAGTCTCAGAATGCAAACATGCAGGCGAACCTGTTAGCCACCTGGCAGAGTCACTGGCCAGATTGGCAGTGCCGCCAGCCAGTTGGAAAGCCGTGCAGCCAACACCTGGTAGGCAGTGCTAAAGAGGAAAATATGTATTCCAGAAACATATGGGAAGAGGAGAATCTGCTACATCTCCACACACAAATCACCCCCACACAAATGCACACATCATTTCTCTCTTCAGCTCCTGAGGTGCTTAGCTTTTTTCTAAGAGACACGGTAATGCTGTAAGTGCAGCCCATATGGACATCTGAAAAATTCTTTGGCGTGACATAGGGATACAGTGTCTGCTAGGGAGAAAAATATTTTCATATTTCAAGTGTTTATCTCTTCAGCATTTGAGTGCTTCAGAAGATTAATATCTGGAGCTCAGTGGAGCCTCAGGCAACAGGAGAGAACACTTACAGCCAGCCCCAGACTTAATAACCCTCCCCATCTCATTCACTGTAATAATGTTTAATTAATATAAGTCTCCTGCAAGTAGGATAAAAATTACTTATTTTTATAACTCAGACTCAATTTTTCATTTCATTTCCTCTCCCCTGAGTCTCTCTACAATTAGTTGGCCATAGTTTCTTAGAAGATCCTGTTGTAGCCCAGGAGAGGCTGGTGCTGCATTAGACAGCAGCATGCAGTCCTTGTTTTTCCCCTCTTCTCCTCTTTCTCCTTTTTCTCAGTTATGAATTGCACAGTTTCACAGTTGGGGCTGGGGAATGTCGTCCTGCTGAGTTCAGTGGTCTGTTTTTGTGCCAGTGTGGAGAGCTCTCCCTTAGGGTGCTGTGCAGTCAGGCACTGTAGCACTGAGGGGGTGCAGGCAGGAACTCCAGCAGGAGGAGGTGGTGGCTCCAGGGGGCTGGAGTGGCTTACCCATAGCAGCAGGGGAAGCCAGCAGCAAACACCAACACAGGCTGAGGGGTCAGCATTGGCACTGCCATGGATCTGCCTCCTGTCTGGTTCAGGCAAGGGTGTGCCATCCTGGCATCTGCTGCCTTGTCCCCACAGGGCTGCAGAGGAGTTGGAATTCAAAGGCATCACTGCTATGCCTCTCTTTGGTCCTGCTCTTAGAAATTAAGAAGACATGACACAAAAAGAAGCAACTATTTGCTTTTTTCCTCCCCAAGGAGCTTTTAAAGGCAACTGGAGAAACATGAAAAAGAGGCAATGCCAGCTCCTTGGTGGGGACAGAATCAAAGCATTGTTTGGTTCACACTCCCCCATTCTTCCCCTGCCCTTCCCTCGTGCTCCCTCCAGCACTTTGTTTCTAGTTAGAAAATTCACGCTCAGACTCCAGGGAGCAAGGAATGAAAAGCCGTTGTTCAGGGTGGTCTTTGCTTGTGAATTCCCCACCCTGGGGTGAGCAGTTGGGTGAAGGAGAGCAGCTGTGCTTGGTTAGAGGCAGGGCAAAAGTTAAGGAGAACTCAAGGCTTCTGGAGCCCTATTTGCTCTGATTTAAAGGTGCTGGCCCAGGCTAGAGGCCATGGCTGCTCCACAGTAGCAAGAACGTGTGCTGTGCCTTTAAGAGCTATGTGGAATGTGGTTTAACTTCTTTTGAAAATGGCAAAACAAAAATTAAAATTAAAAAGATAAAAATAATAATGAAAGGAAGAGCCCTGGCTCAGTCTGCATAAGAGAGAGGAAAGGAAATGACCATGGTGAAATATCCTCTGTGAGGCACTTGATTAGAAAAGTCTGCTGAGAGACAGGCCTGAATTCCTCAGATATCTCCCAATTTCATTTTATGCGCTGCATGCAATTCCTCCTTGTCTTTGGCACGGAGAACTTCTCAAGACTGACAAGACACCCACTGCTCTCATTCCACTATTTTTATTTCCAAGATACTCTTTCAGGCAGCTCTGCATTTCTTTTTTTAGCCCTGTGTTCCTTGGGCTCTTCGCACCATGGATTAACTCCACGTCCTCTCCTGCAGGCTCCCATTACACGTCTGGGGACCTCATTGGTGAAAGTGGACCCAAAGTGCCCAGCTCAGCAGAAGCCCAGCATGGTTCCAACTGCTACCTGCCCTTTGCAAGCCTAGAAAATACCATTGGCTCCCTTTTCCATGCCCCCATAAGAGATTGTCAGGATTTTTCCCTCTATGGACTTTCAGATGCTTCCCATCTGTAGAAAGATTCCCCTTAGCTGCACCAAGCGAGCTTCACGGAGCAACAAGTTCAGGTTTCAATGAGATTTCATCCCTCCTCCTGCTGCATGCAATGGCAGCATGCCATTGGTGTCAAGATAAAGGTCTTAAGACCTGAAAATAAATCTGGGTTAATAACTTGGGCTTTTCACCATCTTTGAATTTCACTGGGGTCTTGATCCTGAAGGGTCTAAAGATCCTGGGTTGTATCCTTAGCTGGTCAGTGTGATTGTATTGCTCTCACTGATGCTACACTAATAAGCCAGTACCAAAGAGATGGAATCTCCGTGTTTTGCCCACTTTTTCCCCCTTCCCTTTTCTTGCAGTGCTTAAGCAAATACCTTGTGGTTCTAGAAGAGAACTGTGGGATCTGCAGCTTTACCATGTATTGCTTCTCCTGCGGGTGAGCACAGCGTCAGGGTCAGACAGAGCCCTGGCAGTATCGTGAACCCCGTGTTGTTCGGATGTTGGCAGCTGTACTTGTGCACAGAAAAGGAAGCACTTTTAACCTTGCGCTCTCCTGACCACACAGCTCTTGGGCTGGGCTGCAAAAACCCACTGAGAGCTTCTCTTGTGGGCCATGGCCTTGCTGGCTTGGAGGGTCAGGAATGCTGCTCAACTGCGTTGCAGGCACTGCAGGGAAAGGTTTATTTGTTTCAAAGTGTTTTCGGCGGAGGAGTGTTTATAGTGCTCTGAAGTTTCGTAAGAGCTTATTTTTTAAGAGAAACAAACGTTAAGCTGTTTTTAAGCTGATGGTGACCCCTTACCATTCCTGTGTTTTTCCCATGGGATCTTTAAAAGGGAAAGTTTCATATTTTTCCTGCAATCCATGAGAACTGCTGTTGGAAGGCCTTGATTCTACTGTGTCCAAACTAGCAAAAAGGTTTTCATGGTGTTAACAGGGCAGGGCTGAACTGAAGTGGGTCTGCACTTACTCTCATGAGAGTCTCAGGGCTTGCGCCTTGGGGACACAGTTTGACCTCAAGGGTCAATCCTGTGTCCTTTGAAGTAGGAAGGAGTTTTACATGTGGGGTGGTATGAAAGTCAAGCATTTCTGTGCAATGAGTGAGCAGCTGCACACTGTGGGAAGGAGACCATATATCCATCTCTGTCTCTCTTCGCTCCCCTCATGTGTGAGGCAGATTGCCTCTCAGCAAAGCTGTACGTGTCTCTCCTGACTCTCATTTGCACAGTGAGGACAGCAAATGCTAGAAAGTCCTTCATGTCCTGGCTGCCCACAGCATGGCAGAGCTGGGACACCTCAGCACCCCAGTCCCAAGAGGTTTGCTGAGCGTCAGCTGCTCAGTGTGAGTTCCCTGGCTGCAGGCTAGGGCCAGGCTCTGGCTGTCCATGTGCCCATACTGCCTTTCATGAGAGGAGGAGGTATGGCCATGGTCTGTTCTAGCAAAGCTCCTGCTTGCTTGGGCTGGGCTGGAGGCAGAGGAAAAGAAACCATTTCTCTGGGGCTCACTGCTTGCCTCAGTTGCTTTTTGGACCCAAACACCAGACATTCCTGCTTAAAAAAGCAGGTTGGAATGCTCTCTGCAAAGCAAGACACCTCTCTCAAACCTTAGCTGTGCACCACCCCATGGCTTCACAGCAGTGGGTCACAGAGCAGGGCTAGGGAAAGCAAGTGTGTGCAGCCTGTGCAGTGCAGCCCCAGCCTGCTCAGCTCTGCAGCCATGCAGCACCAGCCTGCTCAGCTCTGCAGTTGTGCAGCACCAGCCTGCTCAGCTCTGCAGCCATGCAGCCCCAGCCTGCTCAGCTCTGCAGCCGTGCAGCCCCAGCCTGCTCAGCTCTGCAGTTGTGCAGGCACAGATGCTGGGCTGGTGGGGCTGTGCACACCTTTCATGCAGGGGCAGGCAGGGTGCCCACCACGCTGCCAAAGGACAAGTTTTGGTGGCTGGCAGCTCACGTAGCATAAATGGCAGGATCTAAGTGGCATTTGATTTGTCAGGGACACTGTGCCCTCCCTGCACTCACTGGGAAGGTAACAGGACTCACAGTTGCACTGTGCTGTTGAGGGCACGAGGCTTAATTGAGAGGATGTAATGGTGGGTCCATTAGAAGGGGTCCGGAGAGCAGGCTGAGAGCCTGGTTCTGGGTAAGTGTGGGATTTTATGCCTTTTGATGGGCTGATTTAGAGACTGAAATGGCAAGGACTTGGCAGGCTAATTAACACATAATCAAAATTGAGGGGATTTTCCAGTAGATGCAGTGATCTAGTTAATATAAATATTAGTTTTATGGAGGATTGACTTCCCATCGTAAATGAAAGTCTGTCATTGAGGAGAGGCCTGTCATGAAATTATAGTGGCAGCCTTTTGAGGTGAATTTGCATGATTTGCCAAAAAATTTAAAAATGTGATAGCTATCAAATTTCAATCTGCATAGTCATGCAGCTGCCATTCCCTTGCTACCCGACCACCCTGCAGTCATGAGAGCATCCAAGCTGATCTGCTCCCCAGGAATGGCAAGAGCTGATACAGCTTCCACCTCACATGCCCCAGAAGAACAGCAGGCTCATGCCTCACTGGGATGTCCACTTAGCCATGACACAGTGTGCTTGGGGTGGCATTTGGGGCTGTGCAAGCAGCAGAAGTGCCCACAGTAGTGTGGTCACCTCTGGGATTTGACAGACAAGAGGTGGCTGCCACTGGGCTGCCGTGCTGCCAGCTAAAGCACACCGTGCAGCAAAGGAGAGTGCAGCGACCTTTGGAGGGATGTAAGTGAGGGCAATTAATGTGCTTCCTCCACAGGAGCAGCAGCTGTAACTCAACAATATCCAGTGAGGGGGAAATGCAGAGGGAGTCTAAAATCTCAATAATTGCTTGTGTACATGCTGCCCAACATGTTTTGCTGGAACACCTCCAGATGTGCTGCTGAGATTCGTGGGGGAAGGTGCTTTCCTTCAGAGAGGGTGTGAGATGTGCAGGACCCAAGCACAAGGCAGGCTGACCTTGCAGAGGGGGTGGCTGCTGTGGCTTGTGCTTGCAGTCTGACCCAAACTGTGAGGCTTCATCCCCCATTGCCCCTAATGTCCTCTCAGATGGCTTCCTAGCAGGAGGGGGCAGGTGTGCCAAGAGAAAACCACGTTGCCCAGATGGTTGGTTTGCAGAGCCCAGCTGGTGATTTATCCAGGACTCACTGCCATGCACACAGGAGGGGCTCTGCCATCATCTGGCTGGGGTGGTTCCATGTTCACATTACTGGCTCCCTTACATCCAGATGATCCCATAAATTGTCCATGAGATTTATTCCATAGCATCAGTTGCAAAACAGAGGTAAAATGCCTGAGTGGGTTTTCCTGCCTTTTTTGAGCCGGCGCTTTGAACTAGCAGTGCCAGTTCTGTGGAGGATGTAGCTATCGTGTTAGAAACAGAGCCTGCAAAGCAAAGTTCTGGGAAAGAGATTAAAATGCACTTCTGATCCTGGAAGAATTGATCAGCTCATCATTGCAAAGCTCTCTTCGAGTGTTTTAACAGGGGAGATCAGCCTTTCAGATGCTTTCTGTGCCAAAGGCTTCCATTTACTGTATCAAACAGAGTGACTACTGGAACCACCAGGCTTCCACATGCTGTTCCAACAATTACCTCCACAGTGCCCTTATTCAGTCAGTCTCAGCAAATTTGTAGGGCTTTTCCAAAGGTCCAACTAGCCATTAGAGTGATCCAGCCATTTCATCTTCAAATGACATAGAAAGTCATGCCTGCTTGCACTTGGCTTTCCACCCCAGAAACTGGTACTGGTACCAGGAGCAAGAGTGCACGGTGCCCAAACCCACTGCTATTTGCAGGGGAGCAACTGGAATCACCAGTCAAAGACCGAGCCTCCTTGGGACTGACAGTAGGTCCAGGAGAGTTCTCTGAGCCCCAGCAAGAATTGGGCAGAGAGCACAGGAGATGGGGGGTTCCCAAGTCTCTGAAAGATCCTGTGTTGCTGAAGGGAGCATTAGTTTTGGCTGCAGTTTAAGAGTTTCTTTGATTTCACAGTTTGATAGGAATGGGAACAAACAGAAGGTCAGTGTCAATCCTGGCAGGAGGGATGTGACTCAGAGGCACACAGGCTCTTCTGCTGAAGTGGCAAGACAGCCACACTGGATACCACTGGCTTTCAGGGTGAGGATAATGGGAGGTGTCCAGCTGCACCATTAGAATAGTCAGTCCCTTCTAGTCAGCTGTGGGCTATGGGTAGATCGAAGGATGGCTCAAAACCCTACACTCAGTCAGACAGCTTAGATACTGGCACCAAAGGTTGGTCCTGAACTTTGAGGATCTGGATTTGATCATTCTTCAACCTGGCTAGTGCTTTTATTTAAGATTTGCCTGTGAGACCATTTCAGCTGTGAGATAAGTGTATGACTGCAGTCTGATTTGCTCCCTTGTTTGTTGCTGCTGTTCTTTTCTTGTTGCTGCTTTTTTATTTGAAGAGGCTTGTAGTGAATTACAAAAAGAGGATTTTAATTCAGGAGACCTTGATGACTTATTATGCCTTATCACTCCTTAGGCATGGAGTACAGCTTGTTCTTTTTTTAATTCTTCCACTTGTTTATCTCCCACATCTCCTCCTCCACTACTACCACTCTGAGGTAAATCACAAGAACACTCCTCCATTAGAAAACGGCATGGTACTTTTTCAAGTGATTCACTCAAGCAGGAGTGGGCAAACACACTTTCATCCTTTTTTTCTGCTACTGTTTGCTGGCATAAAGTGCCAAGTGGCACAGGGACATTTCACAGGGGCTGGAAAATTTTGCTAAAATGTTGCTGTTTCTTTATGTGGCCAGTTGGGAACAGATTTGTCCTTCATACAGCAAAATCAGTGAAAGTTCATAGGAGTGGATATGCTTTTGAAGTACTTTGATCACACATGGTAGGAGAAGAATGATGGCAAATATTCCTGTTATCTTGTCCTAAATTTATTTTAGAAGGCTGCGTAGCTCACAGTGGTTGGTTTCTGCTCTCTGGCACTGACATCTTGCAGCAGGGCCAGCACTGTTGATAGATCTCCCTTGGGCTGTGATGTCACCTGACTGCTGAGCAGCAGTGATGTCAGCTGCTGTTTTCTGTTGGGACCTATCTTACCATGGATTCCAAGTTCAGGTCTCTCTGGTTTAAGTTTTGGAGGTGTTTTGAGCACACTCTGTAAACATTCTGAGTACAGACACTGTTCTTGCCACTGCTGTGGGCACTGAAGCCACAGGGCAGGCAGGGCCAAGCTGCTGCTCAGAGTTTGGCCCAGCAGGCTAAGATGTGGGGGAAGGAACTGACCAACCCTTCAGTGTAGTTCTGGGGCAGAGATAATCCTCTTGTGCCTGGGCTGGCACATGCTGGCATGAAGCACCAGTGGCACTTGCCCACTGTGCAGCAAGAGCAAGCGTGCACATCCCTCTGTTGGGCAAAATGCAAAATCTAGCAATATTTGTAGCTGGCCTGTCTGGGTCACCTTGCTCTGCAGCTGGAGCGACCCAAGGGATTCCATCCTGACATTGGTCATGATGGAGAGACAGGTAAAGATCACTTCAGCTACACACTGGGCTTTCAGTCTGTGCTAAGGGACTTCAGACATCCAAGCTGCAAATGGGAAACTCCTTGAGGAGGCTTTTCATCAGAGAGGGCTGGAAATCACTGATTCCAGCTAAAGTCAGGTGTGCCTCGGGATTTGTATCCATGTGCTTTTGCTGCTATTGGTATTCAGATCAAATATCTCCAGTTCCAGCCTCAGCCTTGAACTTCTCCTGGGATATCAAGTGTATCAAATCTCTCCTCCCTGAGGACTGACAAAAAATGTGGCACACTTAAAATGTAATATTAAAGCAAGTGAATCCTCTGTTGTATGTATTCCAGCTACCTTCAAGTTTGCAACCACCCAGTTGTCACCTATGCATGCTTCACGCATTGGGTCCATGTCCTTCCTCTGCGCTGTGCTTTAGAGGATGTTTTGCTGCATTACAGAAAAACTGAGAGCCAGAGTTTCATTTTGTTGTGTGTATCCTCAAAACAAGATGAGTTTTCAGCACTGGCGTTTAGAAAAACCCACCTCAGGCTTTTTCACTGAGGAAGCTCCCAGTAGAATAAACACACATACCCCTTGCCAATGCAATTATCATGGCATCACTTCCTCTGACAGTAACTTGCTCCAGCTGTTTCACTTCTTCTAATTATGTCAGTCTTTTTCTTAACCACTTTCTGCTGTTGGTCTCCTACCCAGGGAGAAGGTGGTGGCTAGTGAGGGAAGTGTGCAACTTGATGCCCTGCCTGGGCTGCACAGGGTACAGCAGTGGCTCAGCTGGATGAGCACACAAAGGGTGCTGGTGTGACACCCCACTTTTGCAGGCATGGGGCTGCACTGCCATGCAGCACTGCCAAAGCCACTTGGCAGTAGGTGAGACACTTGTTGCCAGTGGCTGCAGAAAAAATATAGAATGGCGTTTTTCTCCCTAAACAGATGTCAAGAATTACCTGCAACTGCAAAGCAGCGGAAGGCGGGAAAGCCAGCGAGCCCGGCTCATCAGCCCCACCATCTATTTGCCCCAGAGTGCTGTCTGCATGGTTTTCCAGTACCAGGCATGGGGCAGCAATGGGGTGATGCTGCGGGTCTGGCGGGAAGCTAGCCAGGAGCACAAGGCACTGTGGGTCATCACGGAGGACCAAGGGGAGGAGTGGAGGGAAGGCCGCATCATTTTGCCAAGCTACGACATGGAGTACCGGGTAAGATGCTTGCAGAAGCTGTGCTGGACCAGGTAGACTTCTCCAGCATCTTGATCTCAGTGTTTCTGAGCCCAGGCCCATTCATCACTGGGAAATGTGGCTGTTTTCATTGTGTTTCTCAAGTTACCATAGTAACTAAGCTACACTGTTTGTTATTCTGAGAGTGCCTGTCTTCTGCACAGACTTGGGCCTTTGTTCAGCCTGTTGCCTTTCATATTCCTCAGATCTCCCATTTTGCAAATATTCTCCCTTTTTCTTTTTTTTCCTTCTTTTTTTTCCCTTCATTTTGTTTTGTGCATTTCTTCCCCTTCCAAGTGAAGGTCATCAGATAGTCTGACCAGAGGCAGCTTCAGGGAGCAAACCCAGCAGCCAGGAGAAGTGGGAAGCTGGGAGGGAGCACAGCCAGCTCCTAAGGGTGGGCAGCAAACAGCCATTCTCCAGCCTCAGCTGCAAGTGTTGACATAGGAGAAGGAAGAGGGAATGGAGGCTCGTTTGTGAATCCTCTTCTCTGATACCTTAGCCTAGATCAGAGGGCTCGGTGCCAGGCTGTAGGATCATGGCCCTGTCCCACTCTCAGAGATCAGGGGAAGAGAAGGGATGAGCTGGAGGGAGGAAGGGAACTGTGCTGCCTTGCCACAGCCACCTGAGCCCCTCTGGCACAGCTGTACCAGCATCCCATGGAGAGGCTGCTGCTTCCAGGAGTGTCTTTGGCACAGTTGTCCCTTCCGGGCAGCGTGCCGTTTGCCAGGGAGACAGTGCTACTGTTGCCACTTGTTAATGAGCATCAGCACAGCGTCCAGCACCCTCCAAGGCAGAAGGAAATATGGACTCCCAGGCTTGAGGCAGCAATTTAGTGACCACCCTGGTGGGGAGCCTTGCTCCAGCCAGCTCCCAGCCCTGACCCTGACCCAGGGAGCTGCTGCTGTCAGGCCACTGATCCCTCCAAACTGCTGCCTCCCACATGGGTTGACGGCCCGAGCTTGGGACCCACAGCCCAGACATTCCATTGCCTGTGCAGTCAGATGCTCAGCCCTTCAGGGAGGTGTCCTTGAAGGCAGGCATGGATCCCAGGCACCTTAGATGAAAGAGGGCACCTAATACTGGGAGAGGAGGTTTGTGAAGTACGTAGCCCTAGGAAATCATTTGTACCCTTAGAATCCCAGTATCACTAGGATTGGGTTGGAAAAGGCCACCAGGATCATCAAGTCCAGTCATTAATGCAGCATCATCATGTGCAGCACTAAACTATATCCACAAGTGCCACATCCACATGCCTTCTGAACACTTCCAGGGATGGTAATTCCAGCACTTCACTTGGCAGCCTATTCCAATGCCTTCAGAGTAGGCAGGGGGATATAAAGCAAAAGCTGGAGCTGTCTGACTAGTTTGTATGGGTTTGGCTTTTTAATAAAATACCAGGAAACACAATATGGTTACAGATAAGAATGATGGGCACTGGCTGACTACTTTGTGTGCTAAACGTGAATATACCAGCATGCTGAATAATGGCGTCATTATGTAAATATTGCAAGTGTCTCCACTCAGCAGTTCTTAGAGCTAACGACTCTACTTATTTTTGTAAATATATTTTGCCTGTGATTAAGCAGGAATAAGCTGACCCTTCTCCCCTGACATTTCAATACTTCTTATGTAATGTTGATAGGAACAGCACTTTACAGTTAATGTAGCTGTGCATTTTGTGTCCTTCCCTTCCTTTTTGTGATCATAGCTCAGTTAATACCATGGGCCAAAGCTGCTGCTGCAGTAACTCAGAGTTATGCTACTTGCACCATCTGTGCAAGGGCTAGGGGGGATTCACTGAGTCTTTTTTCCTTATGAGAGGCACTTAACTGAAAAAATTGCAAGCCAGGAGCTGCCAGGCCAGGCAAAGATCTCTCTGTTGAACCTGTCCAGGCACAGCAGTTTTCCCTGGGAAAGGGCTGGCAGAGGCAGGGCAAGGAAGCAGGACTAGTGTCAGGTGATCCACAGGTCTGTAGGGAAAGCCTGGAGCAATTTCCCACCCTTTCCTCTGGGAGCAGCAGCCACTCTCCGTAGGTGGTTCTAAGCTGGGAAGCGCCCAACTTAGCACTGACATTTCTGTCCCGATTTCCCACAGATCGTGTTTGAGGGATTTATCCGCAACGGCCACTCGGGAGAGCTGGCCCTGGATGACATCCGGCTGGGCACTGACATCCCACTGGAGAACTGCATGGGTACGTGTGCATCCCGCCTGGGGGCAGGGAGCAGGGAGGGGGCACCTTGCCTTGTGAGCTGTCAGTGGGCCACACCTCCCCTGGCCGAGTTAGCAGGAGCTTCTGGATCTCAGCTGGGACTTTGATTGCCCATGAAAGAAAGGAGGGCGGCTCAGCCTCTGGGGGACAGGGCTCTGCCTGCGTTGGTGTGAGGAGAAGGGAGCACATGTCTCTGCCACGCAAAGCTGAAAGAGCAGCTGAGGGTTACTGAGGACTATTCTGTGTGATAAGGACATACATCAGATTTAAAAGGAAAGTGCTGAACAAAAGAAGCCAGCTGTCAGTCAGTATTACACACTTAGAAGGGCCAACGAGTTCAAAAGGAGTCTTCTCTAATAAGAAAAAAAAACTGCAGAGAGGTTTTACAGCAATGTTAACACAATAACAAAAGAAATTTTTGCCCTAGAATTCACCATTCCCCAAATCAGGCCAAAAGCCAGGTAAAAACAGAAAGGACTTGGGGGAAAAAAAGGAGCAAAAAAGTGTTTCAGCAGTTTGCAGGTGGAGCCACTGCCTGCACTTTTCCTCTAGCTGGAGGAAATTGCAATCACACTGATGGCTCTGGCTGCTGTCTTGCTTGGGTGTGTATTTAGAGGTATCCCAGTTGAGCATGGGACCAGCAGTATTTAATTAGTGGGAGCTGTGCTGAGAGCTGCCCAGAGCAGCAAGGTCCTGCTCTTGTGCATGTCCTGGGAGAAGCATGTTTCACTAGGAAGTGTCTGACCCATCCTGAAGCCAATGAAAAAAGCAGGGAAGAGCCTCTCTCCCTTTTGGGCTTTGAAAAGCCCCATTCAGTGAAGCTGCTCTCCTTACCCCCAGCAAGGGATGATCCCAGTGCCTCCCAGCCCAAGCAGGACAAACACTCTGTCCCAGGGGGTGTTTCTCAGGGGAGGAAGCACCAGACAAACCATGCTTGGAAAGAGCTGCTTACACTGCTTGCCGCCCTATGTGGGCAGGTGAGGGTAAAGATGGTGCAGAAACCAGCACTGATAATAAAACACAGGACTAGGAGTGTCCCAGAGAGGCTCTTAAGCACCGTCAGTCCCCGTTTCTTTGATGCTTTGAACTCTGCTGGTCTCCCATCTGTCAAAGGAGCTAATACTTCAGATGTCAAATTCCCTGTATTTAAGGCTTGACAGTGGTGTTTTAATCTCTTGCCTTCTATGGCATTAAAGAGAAGCAAGAGCCATGATTAACACTAATAGTATTTCCTATCTAACTTCTTTGGAGCTCAGCAATTCACCTAGCTCCAGTCTTATTGTATCTTGGGCCTCAGGAACTTAAAGCTTAATATTTCAAAAACAAATGCATTAATAAATTATGAAGTTTCAAGCATTTTTCAGCCCAAAAAACACACCTAACTGCTATACAAAATTATTTTACCCTGTCTAGGAAGTTGAACGTGGATCTTAAAACCCATAAGGATTGTTTGTTTCAGATGGCTCTGAAACAAACTTTTCCAGCAAAGGGTTCCCACTGCAAACTTTAACATAACTTAGGGGTCATTTCCAGTTTCACCAAAATAATAATGAAATGGTAGCAATACCATGCTGCTCTCTTTCTTTCAGAGAATAGCTGACTCCAGCACAGGCTACTGTTTTTTTCAAATATAATCCTTGGAAGTAATCTGATTCCTTTTTAGCATGAAAGAATGCTAATAAGTCACAATAATTTTTTCCTTTGACAAATGTGTCATTCGCATTTTGAACCCAAATGATGATTTCATAGCACTCAGTAGAGCCAGAGTCTGCTTCTGTGACTCACAGGCATAATGCAGAAGTAATCTAAAAATAATCAGAAGTCTATTACTTCTGCAAGAAAGTAATCAGTAGTAAGTACCGATTATTGCTTTTCAGATCCAGTAATTTGTAATAGATTACATCTTCAAAGTATCTTGAAAGAAGGAAAACTATCGCTTGCCTTTGTTTCTTGTCACTGTGAGATAGAGAGGAGCAGGGCATCACTGCCCAGAATTAACACAGTTCCTGTGTGAGAAACAGTGCCAGAGTTGAGCCAGAACCAAAACCACTTTTGGAAATTTAGGGGGTTTCAGGGTTTCATCACTGGGCCAGGTGAGGCTTTGTCATTGGATGACTCAGGCCAACCAGGCTGAATACAAATGATCCTCAACCTCAGACATATTTTCCTCTGAAGTGTGTTTGAGTCAAAGCTTTTTGTGTCTGTTTGGTCCCCAGCTGGAGCCAGGTTTCTCACAGTCCTGGCTGAGGTTGGCTGGCTCCCTGTGCTGCTCCCAGCGAGTGGCTCCTGTGGAAGCCTGCTTCACTCAGCCACTGCAAATCAATGAGGATGTGAACTGGGGGCTTGGTGTAATACTCTCCTCTCTAACATGAGTTTTTGTTTTTCCTCTGCAGAACCCATCACAGCTTTCCCAGGTGAGAACTCCTACTTTCCAGGTAAAACTGCACTTCTCTCGGTGGTTTTGTTCTGCTGGCATGGGCTTTTACATCGAAGGAAAGCAATGTGTGTGCTTGTACAAACAGCAAATGTTCTGAGCACTGAAATGGCAAGTGTGTACTAAACTTCCCCCACCACAGCAGCAGGAGATGGCATCCTCTGACTTCTGCTAGGTGACAGAAAACAGGCAAGCAGGCAAGTCCCCCGTCTTGGGACTGAATAGCGTTAGGAAACCTGCCATCATGAGAAGCACTTAGCTCCTGAAGAGCAGCTAAGCCTGGAAGGCTGAAGAATAAAGAGTAGTTTTCAACTGACTTAAATGGAAAAAAAAGAGTAGCCAGTTAAAAGTGAAATCTGGTGGGAGTAATTCACATTGTTGTGAGGGAAGGTGGTTCTCTAGCTCACAGATGCTCTGGCAGTGGCATGTTCAGTGCTGGCAAAGGAGGGTGGGGTGAGTCTGCTGGGAAGGGGAAGGGAGTTGGGAGGTATAAGTGAGAAAGCAAACTGCCATCAGAAGCTCTGAAGGTGACAGTGAATAAAAGGAAAACAAGGTGAAAATGGTATATTTAACAGCTTAATACTAGCCTGGAGAATAGAAACCAACACTTCTCTGATCAAACCTGCAGGGCAGGAGAAAAGGTGAGGAACTCCAAGGAACTGCCTCTCTCTTTTCAGGGGGGGTGCTGTTTGTCTTGTTCTGGGGTGGGAAAAACTATCTACTTCTGCAGACATCAGTTTAGTCTGAGGGGTTTACGGGTTTTTGAAATTTGGATTTTGTTCTCCTGCCTGCTTCTTCAGAAATATGTCTGGGGGTTGTGTTGTGATGAAGAGCAAACTTGGAGTTCCCCTTAATTTTGGGAGTTGTTTTGTCAATTGAATCAACATGCCCTTTGCTTTCACTGGGACATGATGTCTGTACTGTGCTGGTGAACTGTAAGATATGGCTGGACTCTATCCTAGAAGCAGCTGCATTTCCATGTGGGCAGAGCTCTCTCTCCTGGGTGTGTGCATTGGGAGCGATGGCAAAGTAGGCGCCAAGACTGAGGGGACATGCACGACTCTGTCCCTGGGGATTCAGCCTGTGGAGTGTTACCAATGTGAGGGACAAGTGCAGGGTCCAACACCATGTTTTACAGTCACACCCATAGTGTAACAACTAGGAATTCAGTTCTGCTTGTTTATAGGCTTATTTATCTGATATTCAGGCTTGTGGTGTTACTGGAAAGCTGCTGTGATATTCTTAGGTGGCAGTTAAAGCCTCACAACCATTCATGACTTCCACCATTGCTCTGCATTCTCCTAGGCCTGGTCTGGTATCTATTTTACAAACACCATCCTTGTCTTTTGAGACTTGTTACAGTTTGAACCCCTCTCTGGGTCCTCACATTCTATTCTAAAGTCTGTCCTAAAGTCCTGCTAATTCATATTGCTTGTCTTCCCCTTTGCCCTGCCCTGCTGCCTGAGTGCCTCCACTTCCCCATCGTATTCCCCAGGGCACACTGGCTGGGGAGAAACAGTGAGGTCCCTGAGCACCACAGGCAGATGCTGTTACAGGCACTTGCCAGCTTGTTCCAGCAGCTCCTGCCCATTCCTGGCTCCCTCAAGGACATCCTAGCATTGGTCGTAACAGGGGAGCAATTGCAATTTGCAGCAAAAGTTTGAAAAGGTTCCCCTGGATGGTTGGCAGGTATAGATGGCACAGAGGGATGGACTGACCTGGGAAGAAAAGGTAAAGTGCAGAGGGAAAAGATGGAGAAGTGAAGATGAAGACTGGAGGCAATTACATGATAATTAAAATGAGGGAGAGACAGACATGCCCAACAGAAGGGGAGGGTAAAATGAGGGAAAGAAGTCCCTGGCTGGAGAAAAAATGGAGCTGGAGAGGAAAAACCATGCATGAATTACTGAGATGTTCTATAGCCCCCACTCCTGCAATTACATGATGAACTGAAAAAGTCAGATACCATTAAAAATAAGAGCAAATCCTTCCTCTCCTGGCTTGGGAGCAAAGCTGAAAATATGCACCTTACAGGCTCCAGGATCACAAAGCAAATAATAAGAAGAGAATCTGTGTAGGTGGAGTATGTTTCACCTAGTAGGTTGGGACCTTACAAGGACCAGGAAAGTGTGCTTCAACTGTCCTGCCTTTGAGCATTGATGCATTCCACCCTTAAAGAAAGGGTACAACAAGTGTCTGGAAACAAGGAATTAGATAAATACCAGGTGAAAAATAAGAGATGTATTCCAAATAATGCATGGAGAAAAACCACGGGGAGAATTTACCTTTGGGACTGGTGGATTCTCTCCCTGCTGGTATCCTAAAGTCAAGATAGAGATATCTCTCTGGAGCAATGACAGGTAGCAGTTATGGGGTTGAGACTGACACTGGTTTTGTGGCATTCAGATTAGATGAGTGTAATACTTACTTTCATCTGTGTCATCTATGAAAAGTCCAGCTGTGTTGCTTGTCCACAGCAGTTAATGTCAGTGATTTCGGGCAGGAATATGAGCTGTGACACGGCAGTGGCAGAGCAAGGCGGGCAGCCCTCCAGGCAGCTTTCTGGAAAGGATTTTCTCCTTTTTCTTTCCTAGATTACTATTGCTTTTCCTTCTTTGGGTTTTGATTCTCAGTGCAAAACTCCAAAACTAGTCCCTATAGAGTGTTCCCTACTGGAAAGAGAATGGGGCAGTACCTGGCCAGGGTGGAGGTGCGAGGACCAGCAGCACAACCACGTAAAATATCCACCCTCTAGGGATTAAATCAGGTTTCCACTGACTGGTGTTCCAAGCTGTGCCATAAACACAGCAGCCACAAACTTGACAACAACAGCAGGAGGCAGTTCTTTATTAAGATGAGAGCACTAGTGAATAAATGAGGAAGGGCAAGTGTGTGTGTGGCAGAAGGCAAAGGGGAGTGGAAAAATTATTAAGTTAAGAAGATGGATTTTTTTTTTCCATCTCCCTGAGCAGTGAACTTCTCCACTAATATAACAGAAAACTTCCAGAGAGCAGCAGAGCCAGTAAAAACAGAGCAGATAACATCAGCTCTGTGTGTTGAGTGGATGGGCAGCTATATTTAGTGTCTGGCAATGTAAGGAAGAACAATCATTAATACTGGGAATTGGCTTCATTAGGGCTTAGAGACAACTGAGTGTGATTCCTTAATGACTTCAGTTGCTAAATGAACTCTCCAGACTTCTGCTATCTCCTCAGCAGGACCATGCAGTGTGGAAACGGGGGTTGAGGAAGGGCTCTGCACCACCCTCATGCTTGAAGCCCTGGCTGGGACATCTGGAGTGGGTCAGGGCCAAGCAGGGGCTGTCCTGAAGCTGCAGCCAGCTTGAGTTCCCCAAGAGACCTTTCCCACAAGCAGGATCATCTTCAGTACATCATGCTGCTTCCCTCCATCCCCAGGCAGGCAGAGATGCACAGGGAAGGGGCAAGGGCTGCAGGCTGGGCACTATGGCACGTGCTCCTCTCTGGCCAGACCCACCCTTTGCACACTCAGCCTCCCACTGGGCAATGTACAACCATCAGCAGGAAGCCTTCCTCCGGCTCTCTTGAGACTCAGGGGCTGTTGTCACCCCTGACACCTGCCCCTCTCCCCATCCCAGCTCCCACCATGGGACCTGGTGCATATCAGTGGTGTGAGAGGCTGTTTGTTTGTAAATCTCTCACTGAAACAAGGTGCTATGTAAGCAGAGACTGTCACCAAGTGTAAACACAAGTGGCCTCTATACAGCAATCAGCCCCACAATTTCCCTGGGGGTCAGCCCAGCACCCCCATGCTGTCAGGCACAGGAGAGGTGTTGCTGATCCACTGGGGATGGTGCTGGGTCACATTCGGGTCTGGGCCAGCTCAGCCAGCTGGATCTGTGGAGAGAGACAGTGGGGGGTTATCAGTGAGGCTCAAGGCAGCACTGAACATACTCAGCCTCCCAGGGAGCTGGCAGCAGCCCCCATGGGATGTCCCACACTGCCACCCCCATGCAGACAGGTGAGGGGCAGCAGCTGCTGGGAGGTAGCTGGGATGTGATGCTTTCATTCCCCAAACCAGCATGCCCAGTGGAGTTAGGGAAGGAGGTCAGAGGGCTGCCTGCTCCCTACCTTTGCCATCCTCAGCGCACAGCCCAGCCTGTATGCCCCTTCTGCAGGCACTGTTGGGGGGCAGCAGGGACAGGGCCACCCCCGCTCCTGATGGTGAGGGGCAGCTGGGGTGAGACAGGTTGAGAGCAGCATATCTCCAGTTAGGCTTCTCCTGAGACATCTGAGTTCCTTGCCTACAATGACAAATATGTGGGTGGTTCCCAGCCTCCTGCTCTATAAAAGCAGGATTTGTCTTGCTTGTGTGTTTTTTTCCTAGCTTTTGAGGTGTTTTTTTTTGTTGTTGTTGTAGCTATTCATCTGGGTGCACTGTTCATTCTTGGTTTTAGTCCCTGTGCCCAGTTTTTCAGGAATAGGGAGAGGAGAAAAGCCCTGTGAGTGGCAGAGGAACCATCATTTTGCCTCATCTCCTGTGCCACTAGCAGCAAAGCAGTTGCCATCCCAAATTTCCAGCCAGTGACTCTGCTGTTAGGCAGTGTTTGTAGGGGAGGGCAGAGGCTGTGCTGCAAGATGCCCTTGCTGCTGGCAAAGCTGAGCGCATCCTGCACTGTTTTGTGTTTTCCCCTTGGCATCCTCCAAGCCTGCTCAGGAAACCGAGCTGGAGTTTGGTTAGCACAGAGCTCAACACTGTGCGGACACCAAACCCAGGAGCCCCCAAAGTTCTGCAGGCCAGCACCGAGTCAGGGAGCTGCCCCCCACTAGCCAGCCAGGGGCAGGAGGAGAGGGTGAGCACAGGAAGGGGGTCAATGTGTCCAGCAGCAGAGCAAGCCCTCCTGAGAATTTCCCTGGGCACTGCAGCCCCCTTGAAGTAACCAGTAAATAAACATGGTGCAAAAATACCTCCCTCCCTAGTTATTTTCAACTCTCCCCCGGGAGTGCTGCCGGGGAGGTGGGAGCAGCAGCAGCAGCAGTGCAGAGCGGTCCTGCCGTGGGCGCTGCCGGTGCATGCAGGCTGTGTGGGCCCCCTGAGCCACAGATGTGGGCAGGATGTCCCCAAGTGACCCAGCCAGGGACAGCAGCCCTGCCCTGCAACACGCCGCAGCTGCAAGAGCAGGAAGGGCTGGCCGTGGCTGGGCTGAGTCTGGGCACTGCCTGCCCATGAGTTCAAGGGAGCCTGGTGCTTCTCCAGCCCTCCCGAGGTGTGGTGCTTTATCAGCATGATTCATAGTCCTGGCTTGCTGAAGCTGAAGAGAGCATAAGTTTCTTGTCTGAATATTGGGTTGAATTTTGCAGCCCGTGCCCTATTAATAATTATTACCATCCCTTCTTGCTTCAAGAAATAGTAAGGAAATCTGTGTAGGTCTGTGAATGGGGCACCTAGTGAGACTAGACCTGTGTGCAGAGCACTTTCAGACAGAGAACTTCTTCTCTGTCTTTGCAGTAAGAATGACAAATGCTTCTCCCTGTAATCTCTTTCCCAGTCTCCTGTGGTAACTTCCTCAGCCATCTGAGATTATGCTTTACTTCCAATTACGAACGTGATGTGTTCTGTCACTGCTTGACAACATCTGCCATGTGGAGACAAAACCAGGTGGCTGATCTGGAGATGGCCAAAATAAAGAAGGGGAAAAAACATTCATTGATGCCAAAAATAACAGTAATAATAGTGCATATGGAATTTGTATTGCGTTCCAGGCAGCCTGATTAATTAAAAGGGAAGGGAAAGGCCCTTGAAAATGTGGGCTCAGCAAATGCCAGTCTGTGCCCTCCCCTAGGAGCACGCCCTGTATCTGGAGGCGGCTGTGGGACCTCGTGTTGCTCCGTGCTGTACTCTTGAAAGCATGTGTGTTTCTTTTTGTGCGTCTGCATGCCTCCCACCTAGCAACCCTGTTCTGTGTCTCCTTCCCAGGGGCAACCCTCCTGCCAGGGACCGAGCCCACAGTGGACACGGTGTCAGTGCAGCCCATCCCAGCCTACTGGTATTACGTTATTGCCGCCGGAGGTGCTGTTGTGGTGCTGGTCTCCGTCGCGCTGGCCCTTGTGCTCCACTACCACCGGTTCCGCTATGCGGCCAAGAAGAGTGATCACTCCATCACCTACAAAACCTCCCACTATGCCAACGGGGCCCCTGTGGCCGTGGAGCCCACCCTAACCATAAAACTAGAGCAAGACCCCAGCTTGCGCTGCTGAGAGCCGAACAGGAACGAGAAAGCAAACAAAACACAAAACAGACAGACAGACAGAAACTAAGACTTCAAATACGTTGCCTCAGTTTTGCACTTTTTTCCTTACTTAGCATACGTGTGAACTCTTAGATATCTCCATCCCTTCTCCGTCCCCCAGCCCTCCCCAGATCTTTTACAAACTCTAAACTAATGCTGCATCTTGGATCGCCAGAAGAGACACACCGCCCCTTCACTTCAAAAGTGAACACTCCCTTTCTATTACTTTTCAAAGATACCTGGGGTGTCAGGTGGGGGTTTATTTTGTTTTGTTGTGTTTGTTTGGGGAGTTGGTTTTTTTTGTTGTTGGTCAGCTTCTTTGGGTTTTGGGATTTTTTTCTCCTCCCCGTAGGCAACCTGCAAGGGAACCTGATGGTGAGCCTGGAAGCTTGTGTGTGAGGCTCGTGTGCATGTGCTAAACCTGCGTGTGTGAGTGTGCATGGGACTGTGTGTGTCTGACTGACTGAATGTATATTTAGAAACAGCCCCTTTTTAATTTGCTTGTTGTTGCTTCTACTTGCACAGGGAATGCTTTTATTTTTGTTTTTGTTGTTGTTAATTTTCCCTCCTTCCCACCTCCTCTCTGGAAGGTCTGGGACGTGTTTATGGTGAATGCCCTGATTTGTTTACCTGGGGAAGAGAGCAATGCTTTTTTGTTGCCTTATCTAGCTTTGGCTGGGTTTCTTGTTTGATAGTGTTAATGTCTTGGGTGCAAATTGAGAAAAGGCCAGGCTGGACAGTAGGAATGTCCGCCTCAGGTGGCTAGAAGAATCCAGAGAGGTCCATAGACATTCAAAAAGCAAGAGATCTCTCCATTTTATTCTTTCTGCAGCCAACATGAAAACACAGCCATTGTTTGGAAGAGGGAGGGGAAGCCCTCCTCTTCCCCCACCTGCAAGTGAATCTATTTAAAGTTGCCTTATATCAGAGAAGCTCATAATGAATGTTTTGTTTGTATCTGTTAAAGCCAGCCTTAGGGTAACACGTAGACTTCAGCAGGTCTTAGTGGATGCTAAATACTGTAGTTTCTTGAGAATTGAAGGTTTATTTATTTAATAAGTATCCTCACTTTGGGTGCTGATGGTTTTGCTTTTACACAGGGAAGGGGGAGAGGGCTCCTCCTTGTCTTTCTGCTAGAAATGTTCAAGGGAGAAGTATCGTTCCCTTTTCTGGGTTTGATTTTTTTCCTTCTGCCCAATCCATAGCTGCTGAATCATAAAAATTGCCCGTTGACTTTTTAGAATGTCAGTTTTGCGTTTGCTAATGTTCTGCTTCTTAGAGCACCAGTAACATCTAGCAAGCCAAGCCCAGCCAGTGCACCTGGGGGGCCCAGCTATTGCTGCTGCTTTAACTGGGGAGGCAAGGAGGAGCCTCCACATGCCTCTGACTGTTGAATGGCCCAGTGTATTGTAGTGGAAATGCCTTATATAAATTACTGAATGATGACATGCAAAAGTGGTTTGAATTTTTAACCCTAATCTGTTTGCAGGCAAAAAAAGTACCTCCAGTGAGCAAGGTTCTCCATCTTGTTTGTGTCCATCTGTGATGACTGATCAGATTCCCTCCCCCCTTCTAAACTTGCTAGTGCCCATCCCTCCTTTGCCCATTAATATTGCATAAAATGAATCAAGATGAGCAGCTCTGTTAACTTCCCTGCAGTCTTGAGCTGCCTTTTGGTCTGGGAAAAAAAGTAAAAATACAAACTGTGCTGAAGTGGTATTGGCCTCTGTTGCAGCATAGCCCTATCCCAAGGGGATCTCTGTCAATGGGGGTGTCACTCTATCCCCATCCTTGCCTTAATTTCGTGCAGCCAGTTTCAGTTCCCCGTGCTGGTTTCACAGCAGATTTCAGTGGGATCCTCTCAGCTGCAGCAGCAAGTGGCTGAAACAAGCAAGGAGTGCAGAAAAGCCCAGGGTGATGTGCCATGGTGAGCACATTAGGTAAGGTGGGTGCTCATGGCACCTGGGCCTGGCTCCCAAAAGGTTTTGGAGAGCAGCAGGGACATGCCTGTCCCACAGGGCCAGAACAGACCCAGGGAGCTCCTGCCACCTGGAAGGCAGTGCCATTGAAAGGTCCCTGGAGAGGAGTTTCCAGGGTAAGAGTGCTTTCAGTGTGAGCCTCCTCATCACACAGCACTGGTGTTGCAGTGCATCTGGTTTGGGATGTGGATTCCTATCCCCCTTGGTCAGCTGCAAATTAAAACAGATGTGAAATACTGGCATGTGCTTACTTTCAAGTCAGCCCAAGCCATGTCAGCAGATGATATTGTCCCGTTTCCAAAGTCAGCTCAGTCTCCCTAGTTCAGACGATTTCACTTTGACCAGGTTCACCCCCACAGACTTAGCAAGTGTGCATTGGTGTGTCAGAGAGGAGAATGTGGCACCCTGTCTTTTAAACCAAAATCACCAAAGACAAAACAGAAGGTCACTTCGATTTTTACTCCCAGTTCTCCCCTGCTCCTTGAGCCCTGACATCCCCAGCATTGCCCAGTTGCCTGTGTGTGAAAAATATCTTGTGGAAATTTGAAATTCTTTGAAGATGTATTGTGTGGAATGTAATAAAATGATGATATTTTTATACAAATATCTGGGGTTTTTCTTTCTTCTTCTTTCTTTGCTAATGACAACGCTGTGGGTTGAAGCAAAGGAGAGTTCCAAAACTCTTTGGAGCATCAGGACTATTCCTTTTAGCCAAGTGGAGCTCCAGTTCCTGCTGTGTGCAGACCCAGCTCCCAGCAGCCCAGATGCTGTGGGCTCCCTGCCTCACTGCACTCAGGACTGGGTATTAACAGCAGCTTTTAGATCCATTACATTTGTACCAGGCCTTATGGGAGTTTGGGGAGGCTGGACTGACTCTTGGGATTGTTTGGGGATTTCACCAGCGTTGCCTAAGTGCTAAATTGCTCAGTGTGATTACACAGAAATTCTCCAGCTGGGGCCCCTGGAGACAGGACATCCGACTTTCCAGGGCCCCTGGGGCTGGCCTGGCTGCCAGCTCAGCTGAGCCACATGCTCCCTCCCTGAGCTCAGCAAAAAATGGGTAAGCCATTAGCAAAATTAATAATGAAAGCAGCAATGCTTTCCTTTCCTCTTCTGTGCAGTCCCTGTTTCTGTGTGTCAGACTGTGCAGGGGACCTGTGCGAGTGTTTGGACAGGTGTAGGTCCCTGCTTTCCCTCCACCTGAGTCCTCCCAACTTGTTACTACAGGGACCTCTGCTGCAGCAGTTCTGCTTTCCATCTTCCCTATGTGCACCCTTCACCCCTTCAGCAGAGTCAGCAGCATCACATTTCATGTGAAATATATTTTGCTGCAAGTTTGAGAGGTTTTTCCTTCCCTCTTTATTTTCCTTCTCTCATATTCTTTACCCTGGCATAAAGCTCAGCTTTTCAACAAAACTTCCTGACTTTACTAGGAATTCAGGCCATCAACAAAAAAATAATTCAAATGTGATCCCTCACACTGGCTATTCAAACACAAGTAAAGCTGAGTACCCATGCTGCTTTTTTGGGAGAGGGCTTTTTTTCCCTGTAATTGTACAGCAAAGTAAATTACACTTGTAATTTGCATTTTGTACACTTCAGCGACTGTTCAAGCAAAATTCAAAACAAATATGCACATGTGAAAAACAGGGAGGGAGAGAGAGTGACTGATGGCTTCCCAACAAGGAAGAAAAAAATTCTGTTAAGTAAACAGACGAAAAGGGAGAAATCGCTCAGGATTAATTATTCCGTACGTGCGCCACAGACAGATTGGCCGGAGAGTTGGGTGCTGCTCAGGCTGCAGCACATCCTAGGGAAGAAAGCAGCTAAAATTAGCATGCTTTGTTTAAGGAAATAAATACAGCTTAGTGTGATTTTGATGCAAACTCTTCTGCCAGTAACTTTAGGCATTTATGTGTCTACTTAAAAAAAAAAAGAGGAAAACTTTTTGGGGGAGCAGTGGGGGCTCTGTTTTTCAGGGAACAGCATTGTGTCCTGTGTGTCACGGGGAGGCTTTGGGCGTGGCTCCCTAGTGGTATGTGCTGTGATGGTGTCAATCTTTTTATCTTATCTCTGCAGTTGGTGTTGTGCTGAAGGAGCAGAGGGGGTCCATGGGCACTCTCTGTAAGCACTGGGGCAAAGCCAGTGCCTAACAGTGATGTGCGAGAGGGAGCACTGACCTGGCAAAGCAAAGGGTGCCGTGGGAAAGGCGGTGCTGTGCCTTGGCAATGTCAGCGTGCCTGAGATGGCTGATCGGGCAGGAGCAGGCTGCAGAGCTCAGTCACCAGCCGCACAGTTGGGTCAGCCTCCTGCCAGGGCAGCCACCTGCAGGATGGCACTTGGCACAGGGTCCCCAGAGCTGCTTGTCCCCGGGCTGTGGGGGTGAAGTTGGCTTTTCCTGGCCTGATGGAAATGCCTCTGGTGCCAAATGCAAGGGAACAAGGTAGAAACCAGGCTGTGTGTGGGGCTGTGTTTGGATTTTTGTCCCTCTAGAAACCCTGTGAAAACCTGCTGACTTTACCAGGGCCAGCCCCCACGTAGCCCGTGTCAGGGGCAGAGTGAGGCGTGCAGACAGCAGGCAAGGCCCCGAGGCGAGCTTGGACAGCCGCTTGGCTTCCTGCCACAGCTCCTCCATCACAGGCTTTGGCGGCTCTGAGCAGAAACTGCAGGCGTGACTGCCAGTTTGAGGCATCGTGTTGTTAGCCACTGCACTGTAAAAACAAACAGCAACAACAGGGAGGGTGATAAACATACCAGGATGCCACAGGGCTGCCAGCTTCTCCCCCAGCTCCGTGGCAGCGGGGGCCAGTGCCGCCCTTCGCCGAGGAGCCGCTCGGTTTGGGGTAGGTGAGCTCAGCACAGAGTGCAGAACCTGCATGGCAGCTCCTTACCTGGGTTCTCCAGAGCTGAGAGGGGGAGAGGACAGGATTACACCGTGTAATGCCACAGTCATGCCATACACACACATGCCACCATCACTGTTTCCTTGGCCCGGTGCTGCTGCTGAGGGGAGGTGCAAAAGCAGGGCTGGAGAAGGGGTCAGGCTGCAATGGGGGATGTGTCTGCTGCAGGGAGGGTTGGCAGGGTACTCATTTTGGGTAGCCACCTTGGCCACCTGCTGTGCGTTCAGCAGGGCCAGGTGCCACATGTTGGAGGGCAGCACCACAGCTGGAAATAGCTGCCTGCTCATGGCCACCTCCACACCAAACACCCAGCCTGGCTCCATGTCTCCAGGTGCTTTTGGTGGAGGGGTCTTCAGCTGCCCAGCCATACTTTCCCACCGTATCTTCATATGGGAAGCCCAAGGATTGCAAGAGATCATCCATGCCCCTCAGTTTGACAATGGTTTTGTGGTGGTTTGAGGTGTGCACAGTTGGCCGCCACCAGGGCAGCCCCAAGGCAATCTGAGAATAAGGTCCAGCAGTTCCTGCACTGCAGAGGGAGGCCAAGCCAGGGAGTGGCAGCTTGTTTGCTTTCTTTGATGCTCAACTGTAGCCAAAGCACTGTTTTAATTTGAAATTTGGCAGGGATTTATCCCTTCTGTAAACTAAAGTAGTCCTGTGTTTCTGGAGGAGTGGGAAAGAGAGAAGTGAGGTGGATTTTCAGCTGGAAATAGAGCAATGGGGGATTGAGAGGGAGTGTTTCTGCTTGGAGCCTGTGCTGCTGCTGTGAGCAGTGCCTCTCCATTTGCTGAGGGTGGGAGGTGCCCCCCAGCCCCGGGGCTCCCAGCCAGAGGAGCAGCGCTGCGCCAAGCAGAGCGGTGTCAAGGCGAGGCCACGGCGGCTGCTCCGCCGTGTCAAAACAAAGTGATGTGTGTTGGAGTCACACTATTGCTGTGGAGAGAAAAGGACTGGGAATGAGCAAAGAGAGAAAAGCAAGGATGAGAGCAGAGCCGGGGCTCTGTCTCGTTATGCCAAGACTGGGAAATGTCAATTTCTGACCCCATTTTCCTAGCTTTGGCTGCATTTAATGTTTCAGACCCTCACGGGCACTTGTCTGGCAGCAGAGCAGCAGCGTACCTCCTACGCTCCCTTCACTGGGCAGGATAGCACTGGCCAAGAGGGATGTGGTAGCAGCAGGAGAGAGGGGTGAGCGTGTAGCTGGCTGCCCTCGAGTCCTTTCCACAGTGGGGAAACAACCATGTGCTGCTTATTTCCCCAAAACCAGCAATTTGTTTTTCTTCCTCCTACACACTCTGCTTTTTTTGTCCCATCAGGCACAGCCACAGATATTACTGGGAATGGAAGACTGTAAGGAGCAGAGCTCACAAAGCACCCATCCCCTGGTGCATGGCTTTCAGCCCCAGAGCTTGTGGACCCCTGCAGAAAGTGGGGAGCAGGAGCACAGGGATGGTGGGAGTGCATCCTGCGTGCTCTCCAGGCCAGGCTATCCTGTGCCAGAGTGGCTCTAGGCAGGCAATAAAAAGATCTGGAAATTACTGCAAGTTTGATATATTGTTTGGGAAAGGCATCTCCTGCTGAGAGGCTCATTTTGTTCAGCCAGAAAGACTCCAAGAGACACCACAGATAATCTGCAAATGCCTGTGTGCAGAGAGAGATGCCAGGTGATAGAGCTCTGCCCCAGGGTGATTGAGCTCCCCTCAGTGACCTGGCAGGAGGCAGCACCTGGTGCCTGGACATAAACCAGACAAAGTCAGGCTGGAAAGAAACAGCAATTATTTTTCTTGACAGTTGTCATTTGCCTTGGAAGAATGTGTCCAGGTTCCAGCAATCAGGGCTGGGTGTTCTCTCCAAAGCAATAGTTCTTGGCTTGGCCTGGGGGTCTGTGCCAGAGGTGCTGCTGCTGCTGGTAAGCCCGTGCAGGAGGGCTGGCATTGAGCACCTGTGGTGGTGGGAAGTACGTGCCATGAGACATGGTGAGCTCAGCTTTGGAGAGGTGAGCTGCCTCGGGCAGGTTTGGAGAGCTTTCCTGCCATGGGCATGTGTCTATGTCTGTGTGGGACACCAGAGAACCTTGACTGCTCTCCTGCCCCTGTCATCCACCCTGGCACAATCCCTCCCACCCCTGCTACTATTTTAAAACAGATGTACACTGAAATTCTTTAATCTCTATATAAATACTAATTCTCTCCTGCTCTCCCTCTGTGTGAGTTCATACAAACATGGTATTAAATCAGCCCTTGTCTGATTAGAATTTTATCTTTCTTTTTCCAGGTCCCATAAATTAGCCTTTTAGCTGGCAGTGCTCTCAGATCCAACAGATAACAGCCTTTCTTGGCATCTGGCTGTTTCCAAAATCATTGCTAATATCATCTTTTGGCCAGGACTGGCTAGGTGCTCACAGCTATCATTTGGCACGCGGGCTTTAAAAATGGCCTTTCACTCAGGAGAAATCATTCCTCATATTGAATTACAGTTTCCCCCTAACTTTCTTGACTACCTTTCTCCAGAATACTTTTTCCCTTTTAAAATGCAAGGTAAGTTGTGCCTGAAATCTGCCCTTTAAGGAAGCAGCTTTCCACAACACAGATTGATGTATGTTTCTCCATTCTGCCCACCAGCTTGCAGGGCTTTTCTGGGGACCACTTTCTAAGGGAGTTGCCTTCTGTGGCCTGCTCTACTTGTCAACGTATTGCTGGGACTTGT